TTACTTTCATGAAAAATGGTTTCAGTTAGGTTTCACTGAAATTTCTTGATTTTTTTTTTTAAACTTTCTTATAACATCTTTATTTAAATAAGCAGTTTTTTTTTTATTACACTTTGTTGTTGTGATGCAGCCTTTGTTCCTGAAATGGCATTAAACCAATCATACATTCAGAAAACCTGAAAAGCTGTTGATCAGGAGCACTAGAAAAGATTACAAGAAAATCTGACTCCCAGGGAGAAGTCCCAGTCAAGTCAACTTTATTTATAAAGCACATTTAAAACAGCAGCAGTTACCAAAGTGCTTAACAATAAAAATCAATGGCAGTAATTTAATGGGGTGGGGGGGAAGTAATAATAGTACCAAATATTAATTAAACGCATCAAAAGAAAAACATGAAAACACAGAACAATAAAATACTAAATCAAATCATACTCATTGTAGATGAGTTTTGAGCAGAGATTTAAAAACAGGAAGTGAAGTGGCCTGTCTAATGTTGGGGGGCAGATTGTTCCAAAGTTCTGAAAAAGCCTGATCACATCTGAGCTTCAATCTGTTTTTTTGGAACAATCAAAAGCAGCTGATCAGATGATATCAGTGCTCGAGAAGGAACATATGGTTGAAGTAGCTCAGAGATATGAGGGTGCAAGGCCATTTATGCTCTTAAAGGTTAACATGAGAATTTAAAACTCTATTCTCACATGCACAGGGAGCCAGTGAAGGGAGGACAAAACTAGTGGTGTACATAATATGATCAAACCTATTATACCTGTTAATAGCCGAGCTGCAGCATTTTGAACGAGCTGGAGACGTGAAAGGGACACCAGACTGACCCCAACATAGAGTGCGTTACAATAGTCCAGTCAGGTAGTAATAAAGGCATGGGCTAGTTTTTCAAGGTCAGATCTGGTCAACACTGACATAAGCATAGCTAGTATCTGCCTTATCTGGAAGAAGCTTTTCTACAGAACAGAGTTAATTTGTTTATTAAACCTAAAGTCTGAGTCTAAAACCATCAGATTTGTAACAGATTGCTTAAGACATGGCTCAAGAGAGTCAAGGTTTACAGGATCAGAGACCGCAGTAGAGCTAAACACAATGACTTCAGTCTTCAGATCATAAAAACTTAAAAAATGTGAAGCCATCCATGCCTTGATATCAATACATTTTAACAGAGGATGAATGGAGCAAGAACTATTAGATTTTAAGTGCAGATAAATCTGACAATCATCAACGTAGCAGTGAAAAGAAAGAACGTTTCCTCAGGAGAGACCTCAAAGGGAGCAGATAGAGTGAACAGAAGGGGTCCAAGAGTCGAGCCCTGTGGGATGCCGCAGGAAAAAAAGCACTGAAGCAGATACACTAGTACACCAACCTTTACACAAAATCTCCTGTCAGGGAGAAAAGTATAAAAGCATGAAGGATGACTCCATTCTTAGTTTAAATTAAAAACAAATTGCACTTATTAATGTTTGTTTTCCCTCATTTTGTAGAATTCTGCAGAGTTTCTTAACACAGGCACGCCTAGGTTGGGGACAAAGACCCATTTATATCTGAAGTTGTTGCAGCAACTTGGGAGCTCTGACAAAACTTTCTTGCTTATCTCGACTTATTGTTTTCTTAATATCAAAAAAGACTGTTCATATCAATATGAGATAAAATATAACCGTATGAAATGTATCTGTAAGGTGCAGATAAAGCTGAAATCTAAGTGTAGTCATGCTTTTAGCTTTTAGGCTTTACATTTTTATCACCTGCTGTTGAATGTTGAGAAACAAAGTGTTGGGTTTTGTGCGTGTGATATGTGAAAAATGAATCACGAGACGGATGTTCGATAAACTTTCAGAAAGTAATCCCTGAACGTACAAATACTACTGGTTGACTTACAGCTCTAACTCAGTCGATTTCACAAACATTGAGCTAAAATTTGGCGTAGTAGTGGCTGGGAGTCATCCCCAACACATACTCTGAGCACTGACGGATCACACAAAGATTACAGGATCATGCACAGCAGTTTATTCTAGTTTCAATATTTGGCCAAAACGGCTAAAATTGTCATTTTATCAGGATATGTTGATTTTAGTTACAGCTTAATTAAAATGTCCAAAGCTGCCTTTCGTCTTTCAGAGCACGGCCATCTGATGTCACGTGCTTCTGTTCTTTTTTTAATTAACTGCTTACCTCAAGGCTCCGCACGGCTCTGTTCAGTTACAGAGGCTTGATCTTCACCACTTGGAGCGTTTGATGTTTGAGTTTGACCTCTTGGTCTACAGTTTTGTGTGTGTGTGTAAACATGGCCGAGGCAGAGGGAATAGGGACCCCATTGTTGTCGTCCTGACCTCTCTCGGAGGACGTCCCCCCACAGCGAGCGGTGTGCTCCCACATTCTGACCGTGTGACTCTGCAGGGACGTGCATGCCTGCTTGTTTTTGTGCAGCTGCAAGACGCTCGCTGAGCCGACGACTGAAAGTTCACAGGTGAACGCCAGTAAGAGTTGAGCTGCGGATGAAGATCTGGACTCGTTTCGGCGCTCAGTGCAGCGTGAGGTCATGTCTGCTCTGTGAGGCTCTTTTATCTCCTGATTTTGTTACCTCGCTATTATGTTCCCCCACCAAGAAAATATCAGTCCTACGTAATTCTCACTTGTCACTGTAACACTTCTTGCATCTGATGAATAAAATGGATGTTGCATTTTCTGAGCTTTCTTTATTGCATTATTATTATTCTGGAACAAATAATTTGATATTACTACTGGTGGATTCATATGAACTGCTCTGTAATTTTTGAGCTTGGAGTTGTTTTAAGATGCCAACAATCTTTAGTCTTGCATGAATTGGCCATTTAGCTCATATTGGATCAGAATTAAAGCTTGTTTCTCCAAATTTAAAAATGTTCAAAGGGCTACCTGCAACAGATAAGATATTCTTCGTTAATAACACCACTTCAAAAGAGTTGGCTTTAATGCTGTTTAACCTCTGCTAGAACAAAGGAAACAATGAATCTATAAAACGGACAAAAAAAAAAAAAACGGAACATATGACTGCCAAGATTGAGAAAAAGTTCTTAAAGTGGAAATTAAAAATAAAAGGATGAATGCAGTGCAAGTGTAGCGAAGTGATCAAAGCAGGGGAGATGGAAACTCGTGTTTACAGAGCTGGAGCGGGCCAGTTTCCACTGGACTTGTTTACAAGGACTTTTCAGTGCACGGACGGCACAGCACACAATCCTCTGCAGCTTCATAGACTTTAACAGACTCCAGAGCTGCACTCGTCTTGTAAACATCCCTGGAGGATCAGCTGATGAGAGGAATGATTCCAGGCAGGGTGGGATGTTGACTTCTCTGCACCTGAAACCACACGTCAGACCCCCTGGATGAACGACTGGGGATGTTGTTTTCAGTCTAGGTCCAAACATTCTGCTTTGTCTCCACTATTCTATTAAAAAAAACATTTTTGTGAAGCCTTCAATTGTTTGGGGGGTTGAGAAATATTTTTAAAAGTGTTTATTGTTTTATAGAATGTATTCAACTATAACTTTAGGTAAGTTCTGACACTGTCTTGTCTGGCCCAACCTTTATGAGGTTACGACACGTGCAGATTGCATCCAAGAGGCCAAGTTATTTAGGACCGAAGGAGACTTCTGTCAAATGTCCACTGTATAGAACAACAGAAATACACTTGTAAATGTGTATTATGAGTTTTCTGATACTTTGCTTTGCTCAAATGTGTGTTCCTAAGCTCTCTAGATGATGTTGGGTTCTGTGGAAGGATTACGAGCAATTAACATCTTACCTGCTGTAAATAGCTCTTTGATTAACCTGATTGTGAAGACCTAGCGTAAAATTCTCATGGCGTTGATGAGCTAATGGCTAGTTTGAGTTGGTTAGTGCCTCACAGAAACATCTCCAACCTCAGTCCCTTAATGTGAATGCACGTTTTCTTGGTAAAAAAATTAAAAAAATACACTTCACATAATTGTTTTTTTTTTTTTTTGATAAACGTACTTCTATGTTTGCTGTTGTATGTTGAAATGTTTTTTCCATCTACATTTAGTTTTTGTTGGTGAATCAGTGCTTAAAAAAGTTTTGTGTTGCACTAGGGCGGCTGTGGCTGAGTGGTTAGAGCAGTCATCCTCCAATGCAATAGTTGGGGGTTCGAATCCACCTGCTGAAGTGCCCCTGGGCAAGACACCGAACCCCTCATTGCCTCCGATGTGTGTCCCATCAGTGTATGAATGTGATAAAGCTCTGATTAGTCTCTTTTAGAATGATTTGTTCAATTATCTAGAGATCTAGTAGAGTGCTGTATGAATGTGTAAATGAGGACACAGATTGTAGTGTAAAGTGCTTTGAGTGTCTTGATAAGATAGAAAGGTGATGTATACCATAAGTAAAAGTACAAGTACAGTACTGTGATTGACAGCCTGCTGGTGATGTGAGAAGGTGGGACCTTCGTGGAGATGGTACAGCTCCACATGCTAAGTGCTGGCTCCAAAATAAAACATGGCAACTCCTAAAAATTAACGTTTTGACTTCAATTCTGATCCACGGGACAAGGAGAACACGCTTCATCCATTTTATTAACGCTGATGAAGCAGCTCAGGGGACTTCCTGCAGGAGCATCGTAATATTTCTGCTGGGGCCACTGTAATGTGTGAAAAATTACTTTCTGAAGGTTTATAAATTGTACCCTGACGCATGCTCAATAATCCAGGTAGAAAATCTAAATAAGTTAAGTCAGGTCCAGAGGATGCTGTGAAATTCAAGGGTGTGCGTTATTTCAAAACATCAATTCATTTTAGTTTTGGCCTCGCTTCAGTTCATAACTAGTCAGAATTGAATTAGATTCTCCCAAGTTGAGGGTGTTCAAAGTGCTATCTACAACAGGTAAGATATTAGTTGTTCATAACTTAACCTAAAGCTCTGAATTATCACTTTGAGCAACTACTTTCTAGATCATTTGATTATTTCCTGCAGATTTCACTCCTTATTTTGTCTCGTTCTAGTTTACGTTCAAAGTGAAAACTCTGGGCTCGCTGTCCCTCGCCTGGGTGGGAGATGGATCAGGGGTGAGTGCGTCACGGAGTCGGTTTGAGAAAGACAAACGGTTGTGTTGTTATTTGTTCAACTTCAGCCCATTTCCTTGTAGGTGCTGCTGGTGCTGACAACATTTCACGTGCCGGTGTTTATGATGCGTTTGGGCCAGTCCAACCTGTACCGGAGGTGAGAAACGGGCACAGATTACAGATTGGTGCATGTTTTTTGATGTTTTTGTGGGTCTGAATAAACGTCTCCGTGTGTGTGCGTCAGTGAAGACCACGGAAAGACGTTCAAAGATGTGACTCATCTGATCAACCACACTTTCATCCAGACAGAGTTCGGTATCGCCATTAGCCCGGACCATTCGGGGAAGGTGAGCGCTTCAGACACATCAACATTTAATAATAAAAAAAAAAACCCTAATCCTTTGTTTTAGTTTATTAAAAATGTGTTTGGGTTTGTTTTTGTTTCAGGTGATCCTGACCGGTGATGTGACGGAGATCGGGGACTTCCGCCTGTTCCGCTCGCAGGACTTCGGCCTGTCCTTTGAGTCCAGCAAGCTGCCGTTCGTGCCTCTCATTCAGCTGCTGTACAACCCTGCAGACTGCAACGCACTCGTCACCCTCAGTATCTCGGTTGGTTTGACAGGAGGATTGAGTTGTAGTCTGATTAGACGAGCCTCTACCTCCTAAACTGATGCTGGACCAGACCAGGCTTATTTATTTACGAAGATGATTTTTGTCTTTCCAGTTGAACCTGTGGATGTCTGAGGACTTTGGCAGCTCCTGGAGAAAACTCCATAAGGGCGTGTGTTTGGTCCGATGGTGAGGATTCTTTGTTACAACCTTTGTCAGGATTTATTCAACCATTAATAAAGCAATATAAATATTTAGGAGAGAAGTTTTAACTATCATGAATTTATCTTAGTTGATTACAAATTTTAGTTTTTTTTTTCTTTTTGTATCAGATTTACTAAAATATGATGCATAAAATCTAAACACAGTTCAGGTTTAAAATCTCAGTCAGGTGTTATGAAGAAGAAGAATCCGTCCAGAAGACCTGACGTTAGATTTCAAGACAAACATTGCCTCATGACATGTATTTTACTCTTTGTGTGAGATGTTCTTCTGCTTTTTTTATTTATTAGACATTTATTTATACAGGTTAGTTCCCGTTGAGCCTCGAAGACTCATTTACAAGAGAGACCTGTTGTGAGTTTTACCCTAAAATAAAGAAGATAAAATAACTCCAACTTTACTACAAGTATGAAAACGGACAAAAAAATATTAACAATAAAGTTCAACTTGTCCATGGAAACCCAACAAATATAAATATACGACAGCTTGATAATGTCACAAAAGAATGGTGACAAATACATCAGTCAATCAATATAACTTTATTGTCCATAATGTTGCACAACATAATATTGGAGGCTGAGATAGGGTAGAGGTAGGGCTGCTGACTTGGGACTCGAAAGTCCCAGGCTCAATCCCCAGTCATTCCCACATGTCGTGGTGTCTCTGAGCAAGACACCTAATCCCTAATTGCTCCCCGGGCGCTTGCATAGCTGCCCACAGCTCTATCTGGGTGCATCCGGGGTACAATGGGTTAAATGCAGAGAACCAATTTCGCCATTGTAAGGGAACATAAAATGATGATTCCATGAGATGAAGATTTATCTTTGTCGTCTGGCTCATGCGTACAAAACAACACAAGTTAAAAATGCCATAAAACCTTTAAAAAGCTTTGCTAACCCAGTAAAACATTCTAAAATACATGATGCATTAAAACATAAATACATCCCATTTTGGACACCATGTTGTTTAAAGAGAAAGAGGAAATTCTTCAAAGTCCATCTCTACAAAAACGTGGCATCATTTAAAAGACGTCCCTTTTCACAAATGTCCACTACAGAGGACAAATTTGAACTGGTAGTCATGAGACTAGCAGAACTGTCAAAGTCAAAGGAAAATCTATTTTTACTTTATTTTTTCCATACACTCATTAAATCAGACTTAATATTTAATTATACAAACGCATAAACATGGATGAGATGTCATTCGGTACTGGCTTTTAACTATCTTTGTTCAAAGTGACACGTTCAAGTTAAATGAAAAAGAGGATAAAGAAGACGTTAATGAAGTATGTAATAATTTAATAACCAGCATGAAACATGCAGGGAACTGGAACAATTGTAGCTGAAAGTTCAAACATTATTTAAAGGTTTGATTTTATATGCACATCACTTTGTGGCAGCTGTGGTTGTTTTAAAGGGCTTTATAAATAAATAAATGATTATTATTATTTGGAGTCGACTCACTTTAACACGACTGTCACAGCTAACCCACTTTAGAAAGGAATGTCTGTAACTCAGTCTATTTGAGGCTAAAATTTGACGGGGTAGTAGCTGAGAGTCTTTTACAAAACAAACTGAGGGCTGAAGGTTCATTTCAGATCTTGAAATAATTGTGGGCTATCAAACAAAACTAAACACCATCCATATTTTAAAATACGATATCATTTTTTAAAAATACTATAGCATGAAATTCTTTCAAAGAAGCCTAACCTATGTAATTGAGTTAGACTTTTAAATTAACTGCTGTAATAGAAGATATTCTTTGAAATTATGAACAGAACTCGCTTATTTTGTCAAAGTCCATCCAGTCTGCACGTTCAGCTTTGCCTCTGCAGACTGCGCGTGTAGTTTGTTGTAGTTTGCCCTTCCGCTGTAGTTCATGTCACCGTCCTGACTCGGCTGAGGTCGTGGTGACGGCCTGCGCTTCTGCAGGGAGCAGCTTGGCAGCGGCCGTCGTTCAGGCCTGAATCTAAACCGACTGCAGAGGCTGAGGTCCTCAGTCACCACTAAGTGATGACGTTCTTGTTCAGCCCGCAGTTCTCCAACCGGACGTGCGAAAGTTTTTTCTTTCCTTTTGGCAGCAGCTAAAACGTTCACGTTCATAAAACCATGACCATAATCGGTGATTTCTACAAATCGCATTTAAATTTAACCAGGTACTTTTTCCCCCTTTCACTTTAAATCTGTGCGGTTTTGTTTTTTCAGGGGTTCAAGAAACAACATCTTCTTTACAACCAACGGCAACGGATCGTGCAGTAAGAGAGGATCACGTAGTCGCACGCGTCACAGCGGCGTTTAAATTCAGCAGTAAGATCGTCTTTCTGTGTTTGTCAGACAACAAGGGATCGTTGGAGTTGAAGAGGACCGACGACTACGGCAGAAGTTTCAAGACCATCGCCACCAAAGTTTACTCCTTTGTCCTGGGGGGAAAGTTTGTGTTCGCCTCCATCATGACAGGAATGGTACGTATGCGAGTCTGCTTGTGCACTTTTCAAACTTTTACTGACGCCAAGTTGATGCTTTAAATTAGGGGTGTCAAACTGAGTAGACTAAAGGAGACAACACTTAAAAACTATGTCCGAGCCACGGGCCACTCTCAGCTGATGCATAAACTGGAGTCAGATACCCAGTATCTTTTGTTGGTTGCAGGTTCATGAACAAGAGTTTGTCTCGCATGACGTTCTGTTGCTCTTTCCACATCAGCATCAGTAATGACAGAATGATCCAGCCTTCTTTCTGGCTTCAAAGTTAGCCAGCTGCCAAGAGAAGTCTATACGAAATCATGTATTTATCAGTTTTTTTAAAGAAAAAATTAGTAGAGATACAATTTTTTACATTTAAATGATCATTTTGAGGGACCAGATTTGGCCCGTGGCTCTCGAGTTTGACATATGTGCTTAAATTATTGCTCCTTTGAACATGTCTGACTCTTAATTGAACCCTTCTTCCACCAGTATGGAAAGATGACAACTTCACTGATGTTAAAACCAAAGATTTGGATGCTCAAAGCTGAATTTCTTGTAGATTTTATCTAATCCTCACAAGATTAGGAATATAAATACAGCCTCAAATATATACACACCTTAACCAACATATTGTTAAATCCTCGTAGCAAATTGCACCTTGATGACATGTTTTAATATTCATCAACAAGCTTCTTGTATAAGTCTGGAATATTTGACCTCTCGTCTTGGCAGAGTTAGTGGAGACCATTCTAGAAGCTTAATAATGTTGGTGTTCTTTATCTGTTCAGAAACTTGTTTTGAAGTGTGGGGGGGAGCACTGACCTGTTAAAACCACAAATTATGTCCAAACTTCACTTGTCAAGCTGTTGATTTGAGGTGACGTTGAAGAGACTGACCAAAACATAGATCAAGGTGACTGTTGTCATTCGCATCGCATGGAACGAAAATGTGTACTCAAGGTCCCAGTTACACTCAAAAATAACAATAATATAAATAAATTATTTAAAAAAAAACTATAAAAAAAGAAACTGTATTGTTCCCACCTCTGGCACAGTGACTGCCGGAGATGGGCAGTAGCTCCCCAAGCGATGGATGGCGGGAGAGAGGTAGCTCCTTATATATACCATTTCATGCTACAGCCACAGCATGATGTTACCACCACCGTGCTTGACAGGTGGTACAGTTTGCTTAACCTCCTGAGACCCTGCGTCCACATATGAGGACATTACATTTTGTCTTTGCTGTACCTTATACTTCATTCTGTTCAATAGTGTTTTATACTTTAAGTCATGTTAATGTGTTATGCTGTAAATTAAGCCCATTGTCCCCATCTGAGGACTTTTTTTTTTTTTTTTTTACAAAAGTATGTCATAACCATGTAACAAAATACAACTTCCTGTTCAAAGAGGAAGCTTTATTTATACACAAATCAAGTCCATCTAATCCCAAATATCTAGGAGATATGAAAAATGCATTGCAAACCAGAGCTCGGGTCTCAGGAGTTTAAATATACTTCTAGTCACTGTAGTCAAATGGCTCATCCCATCCAACCGTACTTTTTCCCAGAAAGCACTTTGTTTGTCCATGTGCGCAGCTGCAACGTTCAGTCGAGCTTGAATGTGTCGTTTTTGTAGCGGAGGCTTCTTTCGTGGTTCTCCAACATTTATATCTAACGTTGGTGTGCAGTCTGTGTCATGGATGTACAGTATCATCTGTTTGTGTCTGATTATTGCTTTAATATACAATTTAAAAAATACCAAAAAGAAAATGCCAGTCGGGTCAGATTTGGCGCGGTGGCGGCTCATTTCAGGGTTTTAACAGCTTGTTAAAGTAAAATAAACAGTTTTTCTTGTTTTGTTCGTTTTTTTATTTTCCTTGTAAGTGACTCAAACTTTTCCCGTCTCAGTTAAAGTAGAAGCAGTTCCTCAGTTCTAATTTAAAACATGCCGGGAAGTCAAGTGTTGTTTTTAGGGAAACGTTAACTTTCCATGAATTAAGAACAAATCATCAGAGATATGTCCTTTTTTTTATTTTTAAGATTATCTTTCAAAAATAACCTTGTGCTTGTATATCTAATGTTGATACTAATTCATCTTTTGCATGACGCAGACGTTCATCTGTCCGTGCTGTCTGACGTGCACTGAGCCTTCGTATATCTCCTCTGTTAAGATATTATTTGTGTTTAGATGTCGGTCTTTAGAACATGCAGTGAACGAACACCTGCGATACACACACTGATGTAATCTGACCTATAAAAGACGTTGGACAGTGTTTTGGGCTGGAGCGATTCTTGTATTTACAGCTGAATACAAAGCACACCTTTTTAGCTTTTAATTATTTGCCCAACAAACCCAGACTGCCTTCCCTTCAGGCTGGAGGAGCACACGAGCATTTTGAACTATTTAATAAAAAGCTCCATCCCAGAGAGATTTTTTGATTTGTCCAAGAGGAACGTTTCATCAGTCACACCATCCTTCTTTAGATTAGCACATGCTCTGAAAACACCTGTTTTTTTTTTGTTTTTTTTGTTGTTGTTGTTTTACGGGACAGAAAAATCATCATAAAAAATTCAGAAAATATTTTGGACCACTTAAAGAAATGCTCTGAAGAACAATCCTAAATATTAACGAGCCACAGCCCCATAAAATATCATCAATATCATTCACGTGCAAGGCATTAAGAAAAGAGACAAACATTACATGACATTTGTGTATAAAAGAGAAAAAAGTCTAGAAGTCTGATACGAGCAAGTTACTCAAAATCAGCAGGAACACACAACTCCTTATTTATAGAAAGTTATTTAGTAATTCTGATGAGTCATTTTATCATTTCAGTCATAAAATTGGAGCAATTACAATATAAACACTGTAACCTCCATAGATGAGCTGAGAAAAGCTGCAGCTATTCCTCCTCTCTTGCAAATTTACACTTTAACAAGGCATTTGTTGGTGTGTGGCATTAAATGTTGTGCAGAAACACCTTAATGACACATTCAAACATTCATACATCAGCAAATCAGCTACATCTGTTCATAACGACTCAGCATTTCTACATTCCCTGAATTCATCGCGTTGCATCTGATTTATTTTTCACGTCTTAAACCTTTTCAAGCGTCGTTGCTGCTGTGTGCTCTTCAGCTCAGTGATTGAAACAAAGCATGCATGGTCTGACGTATTTAAATGTGTTGCACGTGTTTCGGTGTGTGTGTCTGTCAGGGTACAGAGCGTGCGGTCCACATCTCAGTGGACGGAGGCGATCACTGGAACATGGCCCAGCTTCCTTCTGTCACTCACCAGCAGTTTTACTCCATCCTCTCAGCCAGCCAGGACATGATCTTCATGCACATGGACGACCCTGGAGGTCAGCAATGGTGCAGCGCTAATGACCGAGGTGGACTCTGATGTCGTTTATAGCACGGGCAGTTTTTAATAATGCTAACGATTGATGCTCTCGTGATGCAAAAACCAAAACACTGCCTTTCTGGGGATGGAGTACGCTGTTGCAGTGTTCAGTTCTAAATCTTTACTCTGCAGACTCTGGTGTTGGGACCATCTATGTGTCGGATAACAGAGGAACTGTGTTCTCCAAGTCTCTGGAGCGCCATCTTTACACAACCACAGGAAGTGACACGGACTTCACAGCCGTTGCTTCTCTCAGGGGCGTCTACACGACCAGCGTACTCACAGAGGGTGAGTAACCAGACGGTTGAACACGGCTTGTATCTAAACATGCACCTGCTGTCATAGTTTTGTAATCTACGATGTCACAATGTTGTGATTTGTCTCCAGTCATGCTTCACCTGGTGAACCTGTAAAATTAGGCCATGTCTTCATCCACAGAAATCCAAACATTATGAGGTTTGGTTTGAATTTCAAATCACTATTTCATTTTGTGCGTTTTCACCAGTTCTGCTACTTTTTATGAAAATGTAGCTCCGATTTTTTTTTTTTTTTTTGTGCAAAGAATAATAATTAGTTTAATGGCAATTATTTTGCAGCTTGTATTTTGTAAATCTAAATGGGCTTCAAAGAGTAACAGCCATCTTTACTTTTAAAGTCATTAAGCAGACAATTTAAACCGATTTAATTTACAAACAAAGAATCATTAAGCATTCTGTTTTTATTAATAAATTTGATATTAAGTATTATTCATGTTACTTTATTTTATGTATTTTATCATCTAAACATCGTTTGTTACAGGTGATGCAAGCTTCTAAGTTGTGTATTCGATCCAGATGTAAACACCTGGAAATAAAAGCTGAAACGTAGCTCTCTTGTCTTATATTCATATTTTGATTTCAAACCTCAATGTTTTCAGTCTACAGCACAAGTAAAGGGACTGGTCTCACTGTTTCAGTACTTTTAGAGGGGAGTGCGTGTAGTACTCAGTACTGTGTTGCAGCAGGACTCTTCATGTTTTGTTGGTTCCTTCAACTTAAAACTAAACTTAAACTTCTGTCCAGCAAATTTTAAATCATACCAGAGATTTAGAGATCGAGACCTGAGCTTTGACTGGACATTTAACTGTTTAAACCCCTGGAGTGATGCTTCAGGAGTGGGATCAATGTCTTGCTGGACGGTGATCCTTCATCCACTCTCAAATCTCTAAGACACGTCGAGGAAAAAGCGATTCCCTAAACAATCAGGTGTAAACGTCATCAGATTTATTACAAAGCTTTGGAGAACAGCCAGCAATCACAGAAGATCAATGCATTTACAAGTACACACTTATCAATGCTTTATCAATGATGTAGAGCAGGGGTGTTCAACCTACTTACAAAACGGGGCCAAAATTAAAACCTTTTTCAAAGTAAGGGCCGGTTTCAGAATCTACATTAACTCAAGTTAGATACCCAACATCTTTTCTTGGTTGTAGGTTCCTCAACAAGAGTTTGATTGGTCTCATTTGATTTTCTCTTCTGCACTTTTGACATCATAATCAAAGATTACTGGAAAAAAATAAAAGTGATAAAAATATTTTACATTAAAAATAACATTTTGGGGGCCAGATAAGATGTCAACGAGGGCCACATTTGGCCCCTGGGCCTTGAGTTTGATACATATGCTGTAGAGCAGTGCATTAATACTTTAATCTAGTAAAATTAAGGAGCATGGTGAGTGCAAAAAATACCAATTCCCTTGACACCCCCCCAAGAATTTCTCTGTATTTTACTCCATTTTTCTTTCAACTCTGACCAGTTTCCCAGTCTCTGCTGATGAAACGCATCCTCGCAGCATGAAGCTGCCTCCACCGTGTTTCATTGTGGAGACCGTGTTCTCAGCATGATGAGAGGGGATTTGTGCCACATATGGCATTATTCTTGATGGTTAAATGTTTAATAGTTGGTCTCATTAGACCACAGGACCTTCAATATGTTTGGGGAGTCTCCAATTTTTCTTTTGGAAAACTCCAAACAGTCCACACCATTGTTTCCTTTAAGCAATGTTTTGTTCTGGCATCTCTTTGTGCAGTGTGTGGCTTGTACTTATGTAGACTCATTATTTATGATGGAATTGTAAATCGGTTGAAACTCCTGGTTGTAAGGCAGCAAACTGGGGGTGAATACTTTTGCGTCATCACACTGAAAATACTCGCAAATGTAGATGTGGTCGAGATTCAAACTTTTAATACAAGCACGCTCTGGACCGCACATAAGAAGTGCATAAATGAATAAACAGTTTCACATAGTTGTGTGGCACCACTTTTCCCTCAATCTAGGTCAGATTACATCAGGGCGCACGTCTTATCTGTTGTTTTTTGATGTCCCAGTTTTCTTTCTAGTGACGTGCAAATACAACAATATCTTAACGGAGGTGATAAGCTTGTAAAACTGGACATAAATAGAAGGTTATGTGTCAGTTATGTAATTTAAAACACACAAAAATACAAGATTACAGCACAACTACACAAAAAGGGAGCGTTTTCATGTTGGTCCTTGTGAACATTCAGTTTATCCAAACAAATCCAGGTCACAGAACTGATTTAAACTGAACCAACTATGGAAAATTCACAATCATCGTTTAGCCAAGAAACATTTTCAACAAAGATGTCCTCCATTAAAGCAATTGCAGCTCTAAGAAAATAAATGATTAGTTCTTGTCATAGTTTTAATCATTATTTCAGTGGAAATCTTCTCCACTCCACCTGTGATGGAAGGTCTTAGGCTTCATGAGACTAACCTGTATAAATAAAGGTTGAATGAAAGGTGATGACTGGAATAAGTTTATTTATTTTTTATTTCTAATCCATGAATCTCCTAAAGTAATTTATCGTCACCTCTCCAAGATGCCGAATATAAGCTGTGCCGGTTATTATTTATTTAATGTAAACTAAAACAGCCGTTTATCACATGAAATAAAGTTTTCCTCATTTTTAGACTTGTATGTACTAAATTTTAACCTTTTTATTACGACATTTTTTTTAGGTGGTAACGTGCTAAATAAAAGCAAATCCAAGCTGCATTTTTAATTTAGTTAAACCTTAAAATGTTTGAATAATTTTGTTTTATTGTCAAATATTTGAAGTCCCATTTGTTTTTCCAATGTTTGATGAAATATGAACATTTATTTCTGAGAAGGCAACGTTCTTTACAGTTTATGTGCTCCACATACAAAGTATAGTTATTATTATAATATTATAATATTTAATATGGATGTTGTGCTTTGTTTTCTTTTTGCAGATGGTGAGGTGCAGACGGTGATCACTTATGACCAAGGAGCAAAATGGCAGCCGCTCCAAAGACCAGAGAACAGCCCCTGTAACACCGAGACCTCCACAAACAGACCGAACAGAGTGAGACACACAGCTGCTAACTTTTATTTTTTTTTACTTTGATATGCTTTTTATCTTTACATGAATTACACAACTTTTTTACTGTATTTCTCACGTCTTGCTGCTGTTTTTGTGGTTACAGTGCAGACTTCACATCCATGCCTCCTACAGCACCACCATGAAGATGAACGTCCCCATGCTGCCTCTCTCACAGCCCAACGCCGTGGGTCTCATTCTGGCTCATGGTAAAACAAAGAATAATGCACTGAGGCCTGAATTCAAGAAAAAAATGTGCAGATTTTCCATTTCCTGGTACAAAATATTAGTTGTTGTATCCATCTAATTAATAAAGCCCTTGAAAAGGGAGATGTGTGCTTCGAACTGTGCAGCCAACCAAACAGTGTGTGTTGGTGCCATTTGCAAAGTAAACATAATCCACTGCACTATGTGACGAGTTGTTGTTGGTTAGAGCAGTTCTCCAATGCACGAGTTGGGGGTTCTACTCCACCAGTGGTCACATGCTAAAGTGTTCCTGAGCAACACACTGAACCCCCCATTACATCCGATATGTCTCCCATTGGTGTATGACTGATAAAGCACTGATTATTATTTGTATAGATATAGTAAAGTGTTGTATGAATGGTTAAACAAGGGTACAGACTGTGTTGTAAAGCACTTTGAGTATCTTGATAAGATAGAAAGGCGCTATATAAGTACAGTCCATTTTATTTTGTGTCACTTAGTGACAATAGATACAAAATTATTAACAAAGTCAGTAAAATGAGGATATGAGAGGGTCCCAGTCTTTTCTGTTTGGGGAGAGAGTGCAGCGAGCATCCTTTGGTCTGGGACAGAAACCGTAGATACATTTTAAATTCATAAAGTTAAAATACGGATTCAGTGATGGTCAAATAAGCCCAAATTGTCACTTATTGGTTTAGAAATGCCATCCTGAGCAATGCTTCCTCCCTGAAATGGTGAGATGTTGTTTGAGTTTTCCTTCTTTTGTTAAGACCTGAAGCTCACTGTAAGAAAACATTTTTTCGGCTTCTCTCTGCCACTTTTGTTTTTGCTTTATTTGCATCGGACACTCAGATTTGGACCGTGCAGTGACAACAACTGAGGCCTTATTCTTAAAGTGTTCAGTATTCAGCATGTAGTTAGCTCTATTAGGTTTGGGAATTAAATACAAAGATGAAGAATATAGCAGGGGCAAATGATGCACAAAAGTGGAGCAAAAATCAGGCGCTGCACTTCAACCTGTTCTTTCAATGCGAGCGTTCTGCTGACTGATCATGGCCTCATGGTTTTCTTCAGGCAGTGTTGGAGATGCCAACTCAACTCTCTTCCCTGACGTTTATGTGTCATCTGATGGCGGCTACTCGTGGCTGCTGGCCCTCAGGGGGCCCCATCACTACGCCATCCTGGATTCTGGAGGACTGCTGGTGGCTGTGGAGCACAGCAGCTCAGTAGTCAACCAGATAAAGTGAGAATGAGTCTGCTTAAGCGTTCGTCTAATCTGAAATGTAAATTGTTTTGTGACGGTGGTTTCTGTGGACGTTCTCTTGTTTACACCCCCTCAGGTTCTCTACTGATGAGGGGCAGTGTTGGCAAATGTATAACTTCACGAGCGAGCCGCTTCACTTCAGTGGCATGGACAGCGAGCCTGGCTCTCGCTCCTTGAACGTCAGCGTGTGGGGCTACAGGAGCGACTTCAGTAACTGGGTGGTGACCACTATAGACTTCAGGAAGCTCCTCACCAGAGACTGTGAGTACAGCTGAGATCATTCATCTGTTATCAAACTGTGTAAGTTTGAACTCAGCGTGTGTGTTTCTGCAGGTGATGATGGAGACTATGTAGAGTGGCTGGCTCAGTCTGCCGACCCCAGTATTAACGGCTGCGTTCTCGGATATAAAGAGTCTTTCTTACGCTTGAGGAAAGACTCAGTCTGCTGGAAAGGAAGGGACTTTGAAGTCACCAAGAAGCTGTCCCCATGTCCGTGCACAGTGGCTGATTATCACTGGTTTGTTCTTTATTACAGCTCAAATTTATATATAAAAGAGACTGCAGAAGTCCTTCTTTGAGTACAGTGGTCCCTCGAGTATTGCGGGGGTTACGTTCCACACACGCCCGAGATAGGTGAAAAACAGCGAAGTAGGGACCTTGTCTTTTTTTTAGTGTGTGTGTGTGTGTGTGTGTGTGTGTGTGTGTGTGTGTGTGTGTATATAAAGCTTTATAAACCTTTCCCACACTCTTGCAATGTTCTAAGCTCTTAAACCTACGTCATTTTAAATACATACATATGTACTGTACAGTAGCTACTGCAAAATTTTATATGAGTACTCACCAGCCTTGGACCGGTTCTGATCAGCTCTCTGCAGCTGTTGAGCACCAGACGCTTTTAGAGAGAGTCTGACCTTCGGAGAGCCAGCACAAAACCACACAATGGTCCCGATCGAGTCCAAATAATCCAGAGGGATCCGGATGAAAAAAGTCCTGGTGAGCTCCGAAGAAAACACCGGACCTCAATGCAACGCCTTCCCACTCGAGAGGCTTCATGGAAGCAGCACTCAGACTGACCGATGAGGCTGGAAGTCCGGTTCTGGTCCATTTCCTGGTCCGGTTCTGATCAGCTCTGTGCATCATCATAATAATAATAATAATAAAAAATGTTATGTTATGTTCCCATACAATGACGAAATTGTCTATTTGCATTTAACCCATCCACCACCATTTGAGGAGTGGGCAGCTATTGAGAGTGCCTGGGGAGCAACTGGGGCTGAGGTGTCCTGCTCAGAGACAGCATGAGATGTGCAATGACTGGGGATCGAACCCAGGACCTTCGGGTCCCGAGTCGACTGCCCTGCCTCTACCCCATCCACTAAGCGCTGAAGTCTCTATGAATAAGGACCGAACATTTTAGTCAGGTTTGGATTGTATCTGAACTTTCCCATCATTTCAGCACAAAGCAGTGGCCAGAAGAACTGTTGGGGCTTCTGGGAAATGTAGTTCTTAGGCTTATTGAGAGAAAACTACAAAATGGCGGCACCTGTCCTAAGTTTTTTTTTCTTCTTTCTTTTTTGTCAACTGTCCCAATCGTGATTATTGTAATATTAAAGTTGACAATCATGTGTCATGTACAATCTTACTTTGAAAAAAATGCAAAAGAGCCGAGTACACAAGTTGAATTGTGAAGTAGCGAGGGAGTACTGTACACAAAAAAATATATATATTTTAACTTTAAACTCATCAAAACACTTCAGATTCTACACAAAAAGTCAAGTTGTTTGCACCTGACCTTCGTTTGTCTTGCAGTGACTTTGGGTATTATCGTCCAGAGAACAGCTCAGAGTGTGTGGAGCAGGAGGACATGGTGGGCCGGGATCTCGAGTTCTGTTTAAATGGGACCACTGAACTGCTGCAGACCAGTGGGTGAGGATGCTGGGCATTTTCTTTTTCTTTTTTAAAGACACTCTCCAGATTAAATAATTAAATAATGCATACATATACCTGAAAAGCATTCAGAAGTGCTAGTATTAATATAAAAATTTATCTCGCAAAATGTAACCAAGATAATACTTTTTTTTTTAAATTTCATAATTACTGATGAATTTAGCAGCCTTTTATTTTTGTAACTGCTATAAATCTCATGAATAACCTGCTGGAATTACAATTTTCCCACCAATAATAATTTGTCACTTCAAATTGATTATTAAAAGCTTAATATTGTTTGAGTTAGATTATCAGCCTGTGCATAACGATACGATCAAAATACTAATTTCTTTTATAACTGTGGACACATTTTGTGTTTGATATCCAAAACATTCACCTACGATGTATTTTAATTAAAGTGGCACCAAGGAAAAGAAAAAGTTGGTTTAATATTTGACTGATAAGGTCGGTTTTAGGGATATCTAGCAAATTGACATGGTTCCATTTCTAAGGCTCTTTTTTAACATTTCATCAACTAATGACATCATTTCCTCTTATTTGTATTCACCGGTGTCCTTTCAGTTTTTATTCTTTTCTCTTGCTGACTCTGTTTGTCTGACTCTTCAATGATTTAAAGCTACCGGAAGATTCCTGGAAACAAGTGTGAAGGAGGTTTTCAGCCGGAAAGGAAGGAGATCGACCTGAAGAGGTTGTGCACCAGCAACGCACTTTATCCTAATTCTCTGGTCAGTCCTGCTCATTCGACACACAAAAAAAATAAGAATTAGAAATGCACAGATGCACAGTAAATCCTAACAAGATTATAAACCTTTTCAATTCTGGGGTTTTACATATTGTGACGAATAAAAAAATGGTTTGGTTTTAACGAGTCACACGTCATTAACTAATTAAGCAAAAGCCACAAGGGAAAAGCTGCGAGTGGAATGAAATCCTACATGAAAACAATGTGATGGAAAAAGTAAAAGAACGAGACTTCTGCTTGTTTGCAGTTGTAGTTCGTGGACGGATTTTAATCACAAAACCACTCGCCTGACTCACTTATTTTTCAGCGATGCCTTAAATTTGCCATTTCGGTATATATTGTTTTGCTTTATCTCCTGCCAAGCTTTCCTAATGTGCAGATTATGATAAATACACACAACAAACACAAAGCCCTGAGCTCTGGCAGCAGCTCTACAGTCTGATGAAACAGGAAACTCGGTTGATTTGTCTTTTTATGTAACTCATCCTGCACACCTCGGCTGTAAACGCCGCTGCTGCTCTTCACACTTTGATGCGTTTGTCTTTGTAAACAGCAGACTGAACACAGCTCGTTAAACACGGCCGTCGTAGTGCTGGTCGTCATGGCGATCCTTCTGATGAGCGCGGTAGCGGGCGTTTGGCTGGTTAAGAAATACGTGTGCGGAGGACGGTCAGTGTACCTGTTCTTACCTCACACCCACTCCGCTGGCACTCCTTGTTTCCCTCTAACACTTTCTCTCCGTCCTCTTCAGGTTCCTTGTGCACAGATACTCCGTAATGAGGGAACACGTGGAAGGGAACAAAATAGAAGGAGTGGATGACGTGGAGAACTACATGGAGACGGGAAAGCCACAGTTCACTGAAGACTCGGATCAGGTGGGAAACTGTGATATTTGTTTCAACTGAACGTAATGATTTTGTAAATTTTAACTATTTCTTTCGGTTTGTGTTTCGTTTTAGGACCTTTTAGTATAAAACTTCCCCCCCAACACATTTTTTAAAGGCTGTCATGATGCCTGGGCATCCCTGTTGTTCCCACATGGCCTGCTTCCCACTTCCTGCTGGAAGTGGCTGGAGGACTCTGCAGCAGTGGGTTTACAGTTACGGCTCCTATAAAGTGGTGGGAAAGAACACAGAACAAAAAAAGGCCTCTGGGATCCCTGGAGGCATTTAGTTATTTCTGTCACCGAGTCCTGTAAAAACCATTGAGTGTGAATTTGTGCTCCGCTTTGTTTTCTTACGTGCTGACTGAAAAGAGCAGAAGCAACACACACATTCAATAACTTGGAGGTTTTTCAGGCTATTAGAATGTTTTAGGGAGCAGCAGTGCAACTATGATCAGAGTTTTTTTTTTTTTTTTCAGGTTGTAGCCTCCTACTGTTCAGTCCCTTTTTTTTTTAACGTATTTTTCGGTCTATAAGATGCACCGGGATTATAAGGTGCATTAAGCGAAACGAAAACATTTTGACAGGTTTTTGAGCACCACCTAAAATCTGTTCGAGGTCAGTAAGCACAACCACAATTAATACATAAGGCTCACTGTTGATTTATGAGAAAATTAAAGGATTTTAAGTGCACCTTATAGTCCGAAAAATATTGTACTTTTTAAATATAAAACACTGCCAGATGTTTTTACTACATGAGGTTCATTTTATTCAACTACACAAGTCACTAAAACAAGCACAGTTTTTAAATATAACTTTTTTTTTTGTAGATTTTTAATAGTTACACATTCAATGTCTTCTGCATTGCGCTTTTTTAATGTGAAAGTAAGTAACTGGCCGTGATTTAATGTAGTCTTTCCAAGTTAGAAAAATATTTCAGTAATCTCCGATCCAATCAGAGCACAACGTCTCCTAATATTTAATAAATTAACAAAAATAATTAATCAAACGCATTAGAATTACTCAGTATTGCTGTTCTTCATGTTTGATTTGAACCTTTTTTGATTTTTTTTTTTCCAGACCTACTTTAAATTGACAATCGTGTTCAGCAATAAATTCAACGATTTTTTAAAATAAATGCGAATTATAAGACACGAAGTAGCAAATAAAAGATGAAAATGCTCATGGCCAGTTTATGAGAACGTGCTTTTATTATTGGCAGCAATAAAAAAAAATCATAAACTTACAACACATACGGAGGATTTAAAATAACTGGTTCTCCTTGATATAAAAAAAATTAATCAAACACGGTAACTCCCCAAGAGCTGTCACAATTATTCATTTGTACTTTATAGATATCTTTATAAAATGACAACCTACTCATTATAGTTCATGCCACTGGTAAAACCATACAAATAGTTTATTAATGCAGTTAACACTAATTTAAGTAGAATAACCAAAATTGTGTTTGAAACTGCAGCTTCTGGCCAAATTTTGTGAGGAGTATTATTAGGTCAGTAGATCTAATGGTTTTTTTTAATCCAGCTGTTTCGTATAAAGTTTAAAGGCGGGTATAGCAATTGTAATAAAAATAAAAATGCATTCAACAAAAAATGCTGTAATCTAATGTTAAAACTGGCAGCCGTTTGGCCTCTTAGATCTTGCAGATTTTAATTGTGACGGCCAAGAACGATGAGAATTAAACAAGTACGGTAGTTCAGGTTTTTTTTTGTTTGTTTAACTAGGGTTTTATGGAAAAGTTGCAAGTAATTAATACTTCACATGTTGTGAGAAGCTTTTTGATTGACCTCACTTTGAAGAGTCTGTTTTTTTTTTCTCATCAGATTAATGAGCTAACGGCTAATCTGAAGGAAAACAAAGGGATGTATTGTTTTAAAAGGGCTCCAATCTAAAAAAAAATAAATTATCAGCAGTTTGTTGTTTATTAAACTATTATTACTTTCAGTTCTACACTACTTTTGTTTTCATACAGATTTTTATGGTTATTTGAAAAAGTAAATGGCAGAAACGTGTATCGCTTCCAGGAGGGATATCTTAAATTCTGCAAGAACAACCACAAGATGCATGAATTAACAATGTAAATGTTTATAAAACATAACATTCACATCAACCTCGTTGAATTTGGGGATTTGAAATGCTTTTAAACAGCAACAACCCACTTTGGTTCTGGCCCGCTCAAGTTAGCCATTAGCTTGTCAAACCGATTACAATTAAACTGTATTTCTCCAAATTGAGGTTACTTAAAGAGTTATCTGCAACAAGTAAGATATTAACGAAGACATCAGCTCCTTTGCCCCACATATTATCCAGTGGTGACACTCCGAGTTTCAGTGTTAATGAGTGCTGGCATTTTTGTGATTAGAAAAAAAATTAAACTTGGCGCAGCTAACAGCCCATTTCTTCTGCTCTCTGGTGTGCATGTGTGCGTGCATGTGTGCGTGCATGTGTGCGTGTGGTGAAAATGACAGACTTGAATTGTTGCCAAAGCACTTTTACTGTTCAGATTTTTAAGGGAAACCTTAACATTATTAGAACATGACAGTGATGCTTACACAAACCCTTTACTTGAACTAAAACTCTGGTTATGTCATTAATTTCTTCTTTTTTTTTTTTTTTTACTAATATGTCCCAAATACCAACATGTATTTTTCTAATTATTTTAACGCGGGTACGAACATTATCACCAAAATAATCTTTATGTTCAATTGCGATACATCTGTAGAAAAGCCACCATCTCCTTTTGGTCTTGCTATTTACAACAATAACAAATTAGGACAATTATGAAGCGATTCTATAATTTATAAACGTACACTAATTGGCTGAACTTGAAATGTTTCCACTGTGTTTCTGTATTTGAAATGTTGGCTGGCTACATTTCTAATATCTGGAAAGTTCAGACCTGGAATGTTTGGCGAACGCACGAGGCTGCTGGTCAATGCTCGTATCCTCCAGCAGAGGCAATAATATCCCAGTGAATAAGCTATTGTACTACGCAGGCGCTCTGGGGGCTTTTCTCAGAGACTGTTGGGCGGCCTTTGTCACAAAATGAAATGAAAGCACGTGTTTGTGCTCGATGCGTTCTAATTTACTCAACTGTCAGAGCAAACCCAACTATTTACTGGATTCAATGTCTTTTGTTTTTGCACTGTATCTACAGATCTGTGAAAGTTGACGTTCCTGTACGTTCTGTAAAGGGAAAATGGAGCCGCGAGTTCTGACCTCCCCCCCCCATTTATCTTGTTTCTCTAATGTCAGAGATAAGTGCCTCTGGATGAATCTGCTTTGTAGCACAGATATTTTGTAACGATGTTTGCATTTACAGAATGAAATACAGTAACACCATCTCTTGTACATGTCGCTTCCTTGTGGTTTTTTTTTTTTTTTTTTATTCTTTCTTGTAGTTTTGCACGTTTTCAACAAAGTTAAAATAAAATCTGAAAGAGTTTATATCTGAGGGCTATTCAGCAAAACTGCTCAGGGGGCCACAGTTACTGAAGCCAGCAGCTCAGGGGCCGGACATCCAGCTATTAAGTCATTATGTGAATTAACCAAGTATTACAATGATTTATTACCTTTTAAATTTGTTTTATTGCGCTGAATTATAAATGCAACAAACGGAACACAAACCCAGAAAAAAAAAACATTTATTTTTTAATGAACTCGTTGGTGAGCCAGACCGAAGTTACTTCAGGCCCGTGGGCCGCCAATTGAATAGCCCTGGTTTATATTAATCTAAATCCAGTCAATTTAATCATGAACATTAAAAGTAATTTGTGTAAATGTGAGATTTTTATGTTTGTATTTGCAGAGCAGAATTAAGGAGGGTCTGGGCCCCGAGCCTGCAGTCACCGTTGGAACGCTATCAACATTTTAGTTAATTTATATAAACTACAATTTTGATTAAATGCACATTAACTTAAAGCTTTCAAGTGACAGATCAGAGCTGCTCTTAGCCTACCTTCTGAAATTATGAGCAAGTAATTTGTCAGGGTTTTTTGTTTTGTTTGTTTTTTTTAAGTTAGCCATTGCTGCACAAACCATAATTGGGTCTGAACAGTTTCAACCCAGAACCAATTTGTTTTTCAATGACCAAATCATTTCAAAGTGTCATGACGGTGAGAGAAAAGATCAAAATGAAGAATATCAGCAACCCAAATAATCAAAACTATATTTTATGAAACAATATCAAGAATAAGCCTAATGTATTGAGATTACACAGAGTGAAATAAGATGAAACCAAAACGTGTTGGGTTTGAATAAAATTTAAAGTCGGGGACAAAAAATATAATATACTGTTGGATATAAATTCATAAAGAGATTTTGCTGCATGCACCTCAAGATGAAGGTGAAAATACAGAATACTAACTGCAACACTGCTTCCGTCTTATACAAAGAAATAGGAATATTTAGATACAATTAAGGCTCAGTATTACAAAATGGAAGGTCATTTAGTAAAACTTTAGCACTATATTGCCTTGAAAACCAGTAAATTTTCTAATTAGAACAACAAATTGTTAAGCAGCTAATAAATGTAAACTACAACACCATTATTTGGGGGGTCCTAAATCTCAGGGCAGCTCAATCTCAGAGAAGTGCTCTTGGGAAAATCTGGCATTGTGCTTTAACTGGAGCAAAGAGGTGTTTTTTTTTTTTTTTTTTTTCTAATGTCATGGTTTTATGTTTTAATTTTTTGTGCAAGCAAACTAAAACAGACCTCTATGATTCACTTATTTTAGTGCTCTAAAATGTGTCTGATTAAAATTAGTGACATCATCTGGGATTCAAGAGTTATGCAGAAGGAAACTTTGGAATATCCTTAAAACTGCACATTTAAAAAAAAAAAGTTGCTTTAAAAATTACCAAAGTAAAAAAAAAAGGAAACTGAATTCACATGATCACATTTGTACAATATAATTATCACGTTATTATAACGTGATGCTCTCACGGACTTTTTTTTTTTTTTTAGCAGTATTACCCTTCTCATCTGAATCTCATCTGAAATATGAAAATATTTTTTTCTTTAGCTGCAGAGCAGTATTTACTATAGTATTTACTGTATTTACTGTAGTTCTGCTGTGATGTGGCCCTCCGGACAGCAGGTGGCGCTGTGGACTCAACACATCTTTGGTTCACGCGCTCTGTACTCCCGTTGCCTAGTGACGACAAACTAAAGACGGCTGCTCGTTTCCTGCCTTTTCAAAATGTTCTAGCTGGCTCTGAGCTAACGCGAAGTTTCCCGAACAGATTTAATTTGTTTATCTCGTCATTTATGCTGGACTATGACACGAAACGACCCTTTCATTTCTGCCGGAAGCGTCGCATGATGCCGAGCTGTAAACAAAGATGGATAATTATATTTTCATCAGGGTCGTCGGGAAAGGCAGCTACGGGGAGGTGAACTTGGTGAAGCACAAAACGGACCGAAAACAGGTGAGAAACAAAAGTGAGGGCTCCAAACCAAGATGAAAGTAGTAATTAAACGTCTAAAGCATTTCGTAGAAACCCCTGGTGAAGTAGGGCTCAAGTTAAAAGTCAGAGATTTGTTTATTGCATTTTAGATTTTCAAAGATTTCGAACCGAGGAGGATAGCATCAGGTTTTATGTCTGCTGTAGTTATCCGAACATTAACATCGGTCCAAAGGCAGTGAGTCTTAATTTCTTATTTTTTAATCCATAGATGAAAATATTTTAGGCTGCTCGTTCGTCTCCACAGCGACTCATCCTCCTCCATCTCTCTCTGTCCTCACTCCAACCACCTCCATGTCTCTAGCTGCATCCATGTATCTCCTCTTTGTCTCTTTCCTGGCAGCTGCATTTCTAACATCCTTCTACCAGTATACCCACTGTCCCTCCTCTGGACACGTCCAAACCATGTCAGTGTGTCCTCTCTAACTTTATCTCCCAGTTGTTCAACCTGTGCTGAACCTCTGATGATCTCATTCCTGATCTTCTCCATCCTTGTCACTCCTAAGGAGAACCTCAACATCTTCATTTCTGCCACTTCCAGTTCTTTTCTCCTTTTTGTCTCTGTCTCCAGACTATACAACATAGCTGGTCTCATCACTGTCTTGTAAACTTTTCCTTTGACCTTTGCTGTCACCCTTTTGTCACAAATCACAGCGAGCCTGTATAACATAAAAATAAACAGTTCGTTAAAAATAAATTTAGTTTTCTCTTTCAGTGCGTTAAGAAACACTAACCAATCCTTTCTCTAATGGCGTGATTCTCAACTGGTGGCCTGCGACCCAAAAGTGGTGATTAGGAAAAATATATATATTTTCTGATTGTTATCAGCCATGTGGTTAATTCTTGAATAAGTGACTGAATAATTTTATCAATAACTTATTTTTTTTGTGTGTTCTCAGCTAAATATTTATATTTTGAGGTTTATTTTAATTCTCAATAGTACGTATTTTTATTTCATGTTTATTTGTAAAAGCACTGTTGAATCTGTAAAAAAAAAAGAAAAACAGTTACTGACACAAATTATTTTTATTTTAAGGCAGTAAATTGAGCGTAAAAGGGAATTTTTCTCTCTGTAGCATCACCACTTGCTGATCATTTTGGTTTATCACTAAACTTGCTTTGTGAGTTGCCATACGGCGATATTTTATTATCCCAGTTATAAACGGCACCATCTTTTCATTTAATAAAAGGTAGTAAAGTTGAAAATTCTCTTAAGTTTAGGTCGCGGCTTGACTCTGAGGGGTGTTGGTGGGTCCTGGAATCAGCTCAGTTAAAAACCACTGCTCTAATAAAGTCATCCTCTAAAATTTTATCTAAAAATGATTTTAAAATTCCCATCTGATCTTCTTGGGAAGAGCCTCTTGTTCACATTAGGGGGCTTTTACGTAATTCTATCTTTTTATTTTAGTTCAGCGTTATTCGTTTAATATGAATTTTGGTCTAATATTGAGTTTGTGTGTATTTATCTGATTTTCCTTAGTATGTAATAAAGAAGCTAAATCTGACCACCTCTTCCAAGCGGGAGCGGCGTGCTGCAGAGCAGGAGGCGCAGCTTCTGTCCCAGCTGAGACATCCCAACATCGTGACCTACAGGGAGTCTTGGGAAGGAAATGACCGTCAGCTGTATATTGTGATGGGTTTCTGTGAAGGGGGTGACCTCTATCACAGGCTTAAACAACAAAAAGGAGAGCTGCTACCAGAGAGGCAGGTTGTGGAGTGGTTTGTCCAGATAGCCATGGCACTCCAGGTACAGTATACACAAATACTGGGAATAAATTAGGACAAATATAGATGTATTTGTTTATTTAAATGAGTGTAAGATATAGGAAGTCAATGGTGTCTTCATTTTCAGTACCTGCATGAGAAAAATATTCTTCACCGGGACCTGAAAACACAGAACATCTTCCTGACTAAAACCAACATCATCAAAGTTGGAGACCTGGGCATTGCACGAGTTTTGGAGAACCAGAATGATATGGCCAGCACACTTATCGGGACCCCATACTACATGAGTCCTGAGCTGTTCTCCAATAAACCCTACAACCACAAGGTAGTATTATTCCCTGCTTTAAGTAATATAAGGAGCCTAAAAACAGTACTGGTTGATTAATTGTCTTTCAAGTTTTTTATGCACGACAAAGGAATAAAATTATATAATTTTCAAATAGACATCTACTCTGGTATATCAGTTTAAATTCAAAGGTTTGTATTCAAAATACAGATTCAGCTTTTTATTAGATATTGATAATATTGTTATTTTGGTTTTGCATTGAAGCTCAAGTATAGTGGTATGGTATGGTATAAAGTTTATTCATTTAAAAAAAATACAAAACAATTCCATAACAATATAAAAAAAATACAAGAGATTTAAAATGAAAGGCAGCAGAAAGAAGGAAGTCTTATTATATCTGCCCCTTTTTTCAAACAATTATTTCAATCATAATAATTTTCAAGTAACAGAACAAAATGAATAACTCTTTTTAATTTTTCTAATACTAATACTAGTAATAATTCTAATACTACTAATAATTCTAATTCTAGTGTGAGCACACTGTAGTTTAGCAAAGTAAATATCAGACTATTAGTCAAATTAATTAAAACTATAATACATTTACAAGTTAAAAAAACAACTACATTATAAGTGAGATTTTTTTCAGGTTTGTTAGATTAATTCGAAATGTTTTCTCTTTGCATCAATGTTAGTTTTGATCAGCTGATTTTCATAGGTTAAAACTAATTAGTAGTTACTATCTAATGCTGAACTCATTATAAAATAGTTTCCTCTATTGGTTTGATTATAAAAATAATAAAAAAACACTAAAATACTATATCAGAAAACAAGAGTCGCCTTAAATTTAGCAGCATTGTCCCTTTGTTCACCTTGGTAGATCTACTCTGCATTTTATGGCATTTATTCCAGATCACTGTAACAGATAGAAAATATATTTAAAAATATTTACAGAGTAAAAACAAAATATTTATGAACATTTACATTTCATGCATAAAATTATGTAGCTCTTTTAAAAGTTGCATGTAATAAACCCACTGATGCTCAGAGGTTTTGCAGCTGCAGAGTCAACATTCTGGGTGTATTTTCAGTCCTCATGTGCGTTGTGTAACTGAACGTCTCTTTTCTGTCTCTAGTCGGATGTTTGGGCCCTGGGCTGCTGTGTGTACGAGATGTCCACTCTGAAACACGCCTTCAACGCCAAGGACATGAACTCACTGGTGTATCGCATCGTAGAGGGAAAGGTTGGTTTCTGATTTGCATTTTTATTTTGTACTGGGTTTTCAATAACGTCAAAAATGAAGGAAGATTTTAGATACAGAAAACATTTTTTGATGCACAACTAAAGTATAATGAAGATGACTGATAAAGCTGTTTTTTCAGCTTGTGACACTGATTTAACTTTTTTTTTTATTTTGGGGGCAAGAAGTCTTTTACATTTCTTTTGTGTGTCTTTAGCCAGTTTAACTTGTTCTGCAGAGTTTATATATTTTTCTTTAAGAGCTATTGAAGTTTGAATATTTTGAATACATATGTTTTTTTGTTTTTGTCATTAGTTGCCACCGATGCCGAGTCAGTACGATCCCCAGCTCGGAGGTTTGATCAAGAACATGTTGTGTAAGAGAGCTGAAGACAGGCCTGACGTTAAACTCATCCTCCGGCAGCCCTACATAAAACGACAAATCGCCATGTTCCTCGAAGCCACTAAAGAGTACGTCTTAGTGCACAAACTTCCTAGGTTTTTTGTTTAATTTCTAAACAAAATTTTGAATCGTTTGTTTTACAGTCAAAGATCATTTCTGTTAATCTTTTTTTTCTGCTCTTCTACCACAACAAACAGAATCATAAGTACTATTTTCATAAATGTTTGCTTGGTCCTCACTTTTCTAGAAAAACTTCCAGGTCAAGACAAAAAGCTGTGAGTGGAAGTGGAGATTCTGTTTCCACCAGTTCATCATCTGAAGCGTCGACTCAACAAAAACCTCAGCAGCTTCCTCGGCATGAACCTCTCATCCGAGGAAAGAAGGTGAGTTGGTGATAAATACAGATGCTATTGAAATGCGTCCTTTTATTTGTTTATTTTTTATTTATTTATTTCAAATTTGATTTTTATCTGCAAGTTACTGTTGTGTCTTATAGATACACTTAGTGTTAGAGAGAATTTCTTACATTTGAATTAAAGCTGGGAATAGATCCCGGGGCAGACCCAGAACTCATTGAAGCGATCTTTATTCTCTCTGGCCTGGAAACACCTTGTGGTCCTCCAGGAGGAGCTGGGGGGTGTTGCTTGAGAGAGGGTGGTCTGGGTTTCCCTCCTGGACCTGGTACCTCTGCAGCCCGACCATGGATAAATGGTAGAAGACGGATAGTTTGATGGAATTAAAGCTAGACACTTATTTTCTTAGTCTGACACATGTTCTTACAAGTTCCTAATGAATTTAGTTTTGTGAAAGGATGCACCCTTAGTTATTAGTTGTGAATGACTCTCAGCTACAACTACATCAAATTTCAACTCCGTATCTGTAAAATTGACTGAATAATTTTAGTGTTTGCTAAGACTGGTTAGCTGTTGCAGCCTTTTGAAATTAGGTTAACTCCAAAAGTTGAGTTGTAGATGTGCATCACATGAGATATTTTGCTAACATGGAGACACAGGCAGTTATATGATTGCCTGCATTTCATGACGGCAGGTGATAATTATATTGGGAAGCTTCCTGAGTTGGGTTTCATACTGAAATGACAAAACATCATTTTTCTCATATTGTTTTGCTGCACCATCTTCTGCCTGTTAAACTTTCTTCCTCTTTAAGGTCTGATAACTCATAAAGATCAGCTGCAGCAATGTGTTTATTTAGTGTTTAATATTGTAGGGAATGGCTGAGATGGTAACATCATCTAGACAAAAAAAAAAAAAAAAACACTGGACAAGATCATTTAGTCTGTTTTAGAAAAAAGCCTCCTGTGAAAGAAGCCCAGGCTGCGTTGTTGACTTCAGAATGTGTAACTCTGCACACTCTTTAAATGTACAAAAAGCTCTGACACATTAAAAGAGGATAAAAATAAATAAATTGAATGTTGTGATTTTTGACAACCCCTCTAAGCTTGTGGCTTAAACCTACTTTTTGAGTTGTTGAATAAACAAATAAAAATGCAATATAGAAAACATAAAATCCTCCGTTGGTGTGTGAAGATTAAATAGTCAAGTGGTTTGTTTTGATTATTTTCCTGTTTCGAGCGTTTATTTCAGGAGGGGACTGACTATTTTTCATCTTCTCATACTTAGAAAGAAGACGAATCACAACGTCATAAAAGCAGAAATGGTGAGACGGACCTCCCTCCAGTCCCGTCCTCCCAACCCAAATCGTCTGATGTCCTTAAAACCAGTATTGCCCACATGGCAACTGTCAGCAGCGTTAACATCGACCTCCTCCTGCAGCAGGATGAAGATGGGATCAAGAGACAAGTTCAAAGACCTCCTTCTGTTGCGTCTCACCACGAGACAACCGGTGAAACTGCACCTCGCAGTGTGAACAAAAACAGCAAGGTGAGAGGGAAACCAGCTCTTTCCCCTCTGAAGCCTCCTCTGAAGGCTGGATCAGGAGTTAGTGGCAGGGGAGGTGATAAAGGGACAGCGGCCAGTGGGCTTCGACATGTTCAGCCACGGGCTCCACCAAGCCCAGGGGACACGTTCTCTGTGAACCAGATGTCAGATGTGGACTGTAAATATGACACCACGGAGTTACTTAGAGAGGCTGATGTGCAGAACCTAAATCTAGAAAACCTTGAAAGAGTTCTGGACGGGAACACAGACCATCAGAATAACACCCTGACACTTATCAAACAAACTCCAGCTCATCCACTCGCTTCAGATGTAAGTGTCCAATTAAACAAACAAAAAAACAACACTTTTTTTAAATTACCAAGTGTCACTTTGTCAATTGAGCTCATTTCTCTTTTTGAAGGACATCTTGGAAGCTACTGAAAGACTGTTAGAGCCACTAGCACAGGTAAGAGTGAAAATACACTTTTAAAGATAAATATTCAATTTAACACAGCTTAGAAAACTTTAAAATGTAGAGAGTTGTTGGCCCAGCTGTAAAAGTTTGTGTCTTCAGGAGCCTGTTCTGGAGGAATCTTCTCCTGCAGCCCCTGAACAAGATCCAGCTTCTCCCCGTCAGAGTCCAGGGCGTTTGTCAGCGCCTTCAGTATCACAGCAACACAAAGAAACGCACACAAGACAAACACAAGGAGACCAGAAACAGGTAAATATGGATACAGGAGCTAAAGTTTGGCTGGCACCTATAAGACTCAATCACTCTACACAATATATTGTAACTTTTCCTATGGTTTAGAAAGTGTTTAGAATTTTCTGCCTCTGTTCAGTTTATTTAATTTATTTCATCTGTAAACTTTACAAATAGTTTTCTGTAGATAACAACAGAAACGTAGCAGCAAGTTGCGTTGATTGACATTTTACGTCTTTCATGGGTTCAAGGCGGCAGCTCCAAGACCGTTACCTCAACCTCCTGTTGAGTGTGTGTCTGTGGAAGGGAGGAAGAGGAGCAAGAGAAAAACTGCTGAGGCTTCAGCGTCTACGTCCGTCAGTTTGTCTGAGGATGGACTTTTACCGTTCCCACAGGTGAGCACGATGCACAGATGAGTGACTCTTTGAACGAAAAACTGCCCCAGCAAATATTCAACATCTCTGGATTAATAAAAAGACGTGTAGTAAATATTTCTAGTTAATGGTTTGGTTGAAACAGTGAAGCTGATAGTTTCTGTGCTTTTATACCAGTTTTATATGGAGTGCCATTTGTAAAGTTACACAGTCAAAAATTAACTGCAATATTTTGGTTTATTTAGCCTTTAATAATAATTTAAAAAAAAAATCTAAGTAATATTTTCACCATATTATTCATACATTTAAAAATGTCATAGTTCCAAACTAAATATTTAATTTAAAAAATAAATATTCAATTTGCTAACTAAATATTTAACTCTCACCTAAATATTTAACTTGCCAGCTAAATATTTAGTTAATATGCAAATTCCTTGCGGAAGTGGACTTTCAAAATAAAAGGCGAACCCATGTGACGTAACATTCGGGGCGGATCAGGTGTTGCACAATATTCTGTGACCACCGTATATTGTGACCGTAGGGGACGCTGTTGCATTTTTACGTCATACTTTGCAATATCTGATAAACTCTATCATATTCTGTGACCGTCTATGTTTCCACAAAAGTCATGATATTAGTGATCAGATTTTACTTTTTATTCTTTGGAGGAAGGAGAGAGTCGGACTCCTTCCTTCAAAGAAAAAAACAACAACATCAGCCCACAAAATCATGACTATTATGGAAATATAGACGGTCACAGAATATGATGGCGCTTATCAGGCATTGCAAAGTATGACGTAAAAATGCAACAGCGCCCCCTACAGTCACAATATACAGTGGTCACAGAATATGGTGTAACAACGGCACCCCATAGTTTTATTTATTTATGCATTTGTCCTGTAAAAATGTGATTGTAATGAAACTTGTGGGCAAAGAAAATGTAACTTTCTGACGTGTTTTGTGAAGAACTGCTGAAACTAAAAGTTGAAACCTTCAAGCACCCACATCTAATGCTGACATTTTCTTATGACATTTTTACTGTTTGCTCTCAGCTGAACAGTGAACATGCTTAGTGCCAAGATGACGCGTACATCCCAGAGAAGCAAACGTTTTACGCACACCTGCTGTTTGTCTGCATTAGAGCGACCTGCGATCAGCTCATCAGTCATCGCTTTCAATTTTTAGGTGTTCAGTCTGATTCTACCATAATTGACACAGATGTTCCTGAGGTCCTTGTTTTCATTTTTCCTTTAAATAAGCCAAACATCTTAAGTTTACTTGTGCACTGTCATGAATGCTACAAGTCTATTTTAATGTATTTATTTTATTTTCTGGTGTCTTAATGATCCGTCGTCTTATTTTAGGTTGTGATGATGACAAAAAGTAAAACTTGTGGATTGATGGAGGAGTTATTTTAACTAGATTTACTATAATAATCTTGTTGTTAAACCATTTCTGTGTGGATGGTTTGTTTCTGGCCATGACTCATGGTATATTTTACTCTGACTAAAGCAAAGTTCAGTTCATCTGTGACAAAAATAGTAAAATTCTATGTTCAGGATCGTCCTCTGACTGCAAGAGAGAGAAGACGTCTGAGGCAGTCCCAGGAGAGTGGCAGCCAAGCAGGTAATCCCTCTAAACAGAAAATATTTAAAACTGTTGCAAGATAAAGAATTAAACAGTCAAATACCAAAAAAGCCAATTTTCTCCTCACAGAAAGTTTAACTCTGAACCACACTGGTATTTAGATTTGCACATTAGTACGTTTTCTTTGTTCCTGGAATGTTTTAAGTTACAATTTGTGGAGTATTTGATCGTTTTCTGCTTTGCTCAGGTGTCAGTGCTGTACGAAGAGCCTCGTATGATACTGCCTCCACCAACGCAGAGTACCACGGTGTCCCAGTTACTCGATCTGCTTCATATTCCATCACAGAGCCCAAGGTGCAGATACTCTGCTGTTTGAGACGTTAAACTGTGCATCATGTAGATTAAAGGAGGAGAGTCTGGGGGGGGCTAATCTGGAGCTGTTAAGGGTAAAACTGGTCTTAAAATGTGTCTCGTCAGATCTTCTGTAACATGACAGGTTTGTTTAGTCACAGCAGGATAGGTCGGTGGAACAAAAGTCTGATGAAGACGAGTGCAGCTCGTCTACCAGCTCCACCGAGCGTTCAGAGGGAGACTGCAGGGAAAGGTGAGAGCAGACACCACAAGATCAAGACTGAGCTATAAAGTATCAAACATAACTCATGTGTCATCTGCAGAAAGACCGAGTCCTGCGACATGCACGATTTGGTTCACATGATGACTCAGACTTTGAGAATGGATGTTGGAGACGGGGGACACGAGGTGGACAAGAGCAGACCTGACTCCACACTGCCAGAGTTCAAACTGAACAGGAGGTACAGGGACACCCTGGCGCTTCACGGGAGAGCTCGAGGGGAACCACAAAACTTGTCCATGGGTGAAATACCAATAGGTTTAAATGTTTTTAATTTAACTCATAAGACATGGTGGAGCTTTTCTTTGTGTAACAACTCTGCCTCTTCAGAAAACTCCACGTCCGGTCCGGCCAAGGTACGAAGAGCGATAGAGCACCTGAGAACGGATGTGGTGAAAGGTCTGGGTGTCAAGCTCTTGGACAAAGTGCTTGAAATCATGGAAGAGGAGGACGAGGTCAAAAGAGAAGTAAATGAATAATTCAACATAACAGATTTTAATTTAAGGCTGAATAAAATTAACTGTTTGCTTGAACGAATCAAAAACAATTATGTAGTCACAGTTTTAGAAACTGTTCTGTAAATCAATATTGTCAGATATTTACAATTAACTGAACAGACGCTGCAGAGAAACTGCCGTTTACACTATTTTTTTTGTTACTATTTAAGTTTTTGTTGGAGCAAAGCTAATTAAGTTAAACTCGTCTTTCATTTCTCAATTTAAAAATGCTACAAGGGATTTTTTTCAGGGGACAGATTTAAATTTACGAGTAATTTTTTTTAAACTTGATGCCATTTGGCTCCATTTTGTTTTTCAGCTGCGCCTTCGCGAGGAGATGGGCGACGAGAAGTATCAAGCTTATGCTGTCATGGTGAGACAGCTGAAGTTTTTCGAGGACGTGGCCTTCAAGGTTTAAAGAGGACTGACTCTGGAAATTTACCTGAGATCATTTGTTTAAAATATAGATCACAAAAAAAAACAACTTCTACACGTCACAGTGGTCGTAAAAAATATGTTTCAAAGAGAAATTTGTACCAATATGAGAATTAGTCAAATTGAAATGACTTCTTGTATCAGCACCCAAGTCCTTATTGCAAGTTTTTCAGGACTTGCAACTTTTTTGGCAATTATGTAAATAAATATGTATATGTAAAAAAAAAAATGTAGGTACAAATACAGAATGTGAAAATAATCTAACAATAATCTTAAATACCTATGCAAACTGTCATTTTAAGTCTCTTATTCTTTCTTTTTCCCTGTTGTAATTTACAGTAATTTTTTATTACAAGGCCAAAATGTCACGAGCTGTATGCTTTATGTCGTAAGTTTTTATTCTTAAATTTTACATTTGCTGTTCTATTTCTTTCTTTCTTGGATAATGTAAAATAGATGTAGATATTAACATTTGAACCATTTCTAATAAAATCTGAAGCTATTTTTGCTTACAGCTACTTTAACTTTAGGTGATGCATTAAATATTTTAATCCTGACAAACAAAACAATATTTTGGTCACATAAACATCAATATTTTCTACAAAATCATTAGAATCCATTCCCGGTTGTAAAATTGACACGACTGAACGTTAATTATACAAATCATGTTTCAAAATTGAGAAGACAACACATTTACTCTGAATGTTTTTAATGTGAACTGTTGGACAAACTCCAAGATGGTTCTTCGTGTAAAAAAGATAATTTGAAGCCAGGTATGGGACCGTTATTGATCTATTTGTGCTTCTTCCTTTTGCTGCCATCCTGGGGCTTTTGTGGAGATTCCCCACTGCTCTCTGGTACAACTGGCTGCCACGGCAGAGGATTCTTCCTGTACATGGGCCATGGAGGCAGGGTCAACTGGTGTAAAGAACAGAAACGCAACCTGGTGTTATTTTCAGTATGGTGCACCGCCAAACAAGAACCAACAGTGAAAACTTACCACACAAGACACAGCAAAACCAGCCAACACTATGTACACTGTCCACCCAAACTGCTGAACGATCAGACCATAGATGAATCCTATCACCTGTGAGAAAATGCTGTCAGTAAACCACACTACAGGTAAAAACAATGCCGTACCCGCAGGTGATCGATATGATTGTTTACCGCAGAGATGAGAATAATTCCTTGGAAAATCTGCTCAGCCAGTTTCTGGCCCTTATAATCCTGCAACACAAGGAAGCATAAGTGAAAGCAACATTACCAACATCCAGTCTGGACAGTGTATTGACTTGATTATTGGGTCAACTTGAACAAATTGTATAAAACTTCCTACAAATTTTCATTTGAAAATACATTTCCAGACTCAAACGTCCAGGTTTCTTTGTCATTCTCTGATGCAAACATTTAATGCTAATTAAGAGGATTGTTGATTTATTCGTTACATTACAAGTCTGAAACTAAAAACTTGATTATGGCAGATGAAACAGCATTGTCCACACATTTAACATGCAGCAACCTGGGTGAGAAGTAATGCCATTTTAAGAAATTTGCCTTTAATAAATTGCGGAAACAAATATTTTCCTTAGTATTTCATGTACCAAAACCTATAAAACAATTAAAGCAAGTAATTTTCTATTGAGGTAAAAAAAAATAGTAAATGTAAGATAAACTATAAGGCAATTTTTAAACATCTGCTCCACCTCCAAAGAACCGAGTAATTATAAACTAACATTATTAATTCACCCCGGCAAGCAGAACATTTGTGAGTGGTTGATTCAGGTTTTGTAATGAAAAATATAAAAGCATTTGATTAGCAGCTGTTACTCTTTGAGATGCTAGCATTAAATAACTTAATGACTGTAATGAAACTAGTAGCTAGTTTATTTTCAGTTCTCGATTTTAAAAGGCAACAATTTCTTACCATATGTGTGGGAATGGATTTGAATATCGACAGCATGTTTCTAGTTGAAATAAACTGAAATGTTTTGTCTGCAGCTAGCAAAGTAGTTTGACTTCCGGTTTTTAAAACGCTACGTCGAACTGTGAAAAATAACCCACCTGTTTACCCTTCAGCGCCCTCTATTGACAGAAACTACAGTTTCGTAGATCTACATGTCACATGGATTAGACAAAGCGGCTACAGTCGAGGGCATATTTGGTTTTAAACTTGTTACGTTTTAGGCTGTCCACAATAGTGCCGTTAAAAATATGTACTTTTAAAATTCTACCTTTTGTATTATATTAGTTATTTATTACACAACTCACGTTTATTATTAAATACTATGCTAATCTACTGTCATGCGAATTTGAACAATTTTATACCGGTTAAAAATAGCTAATTATATATTTTTTTATACAGGCACTTTTTAAACACCTACAGCTACGTGCGTTCGTTACAAACTTGTTGATGTTGAGTTGGCATCTTGGCTCAAACGTGATTTTGTCTTAAACGTAGCTTTCTCTTAAAAGCTGTGGAACAGCAGTGAGTATTTTAAATTTAACCATACTAAAAATATTTAACTGTAATTTAGGGTTTGCATTCGCCACGCAGCAGTGAAGGAACGCTACAAAGATTAGGGGACTCCGTGGGCATCACTCGGCTTCGGTGAATTTTAACCATCCTGATTTTTTTTTTTTTTATTTGTTTCTATTTTATCCAAGCGCTGTTGTAAGGTAGATGCTGTCATGACACTCAGGAGAGGTGAGCCAACTATTCCTTGTTCACACATTGTAAATGAAAACATCTGACTGCTCTTACTAACAACTCTCCATTCATGCGCAGTGAATGTGCTCATCCTCGTACTTGTGGCTGTGGCCTTCCTTATTATCGTTCAGCGAAACCTCCTCAACCTCAGCGACTTCTTACACAGAGAAAGCCCAGGTACCTTTGTGCTACACATCCTCGCATCATGTGGTTTGTTGTCGTGTGCATCTCATCAGACAATCTAGGCTCATTAAAGCAGAAAATGTAAAAAGTTATGAGTGTGTCTCCATCCAGATGCTGGGATGGTCCTTCCCTTTGAGGCTGAGCTGTCTCCAGATCTTGGACTTGATCTGGACAGGAAAGGAGAGGAGATCCCCGTCCTCATCACCGCTGCAGAGGACAGACTTGGAGCTGTGATTGCTGCCATGAACAGTGTGTACCAGAACAGTAAATCCAATGTGGTTTTCACTATTGTGACCCTCAATGACACAGTCGATCATCTAAGGCAAGACGTTTATGTTAACTTTTTACTTATTACATTTACACGTTTTAAGTAACCTGATTTAACCACGTCTACATTTGACCAACAGGACGTGGCTGAGTCAGACAAAGCTGAAAAATGTCAAACACAAAGTAATAATTTTTAACCAAGAGCTTCTCAGTGGGAAGATGCCAAAAGATCTTAAGACAACGGAGACCTCAAAACCAGTAAGACAAGAGGAAACGGTATAACCACCTAAACCATCTGGTTTTTAATTGTTTGTGTCGTTTCAGTTGACGTTTGCCAGGTTTTATTTGCCTTTATTCATACCTGAGGCAGATAAAGCCATCTACCTGGATGATGATGTCATTGTGCAAGGTAAAGATGAGAATTACTTAAAATAATAAATTGAACCAGTTTATCATTGTGCTGTCATCAAATTATAAGAAAAATAGATTTTCTTGACAAATATTTAATCAGTTCATATGTTGTTTTTGTTGGATCTCAGGAGACATTCAGGAGCTTTATGAAGCCAACCTGAAGCCAGGACATGCAGCTGCCTTCGCTGAAGACTGCGACTCCGCTTCTTCTAAAGGCATCATTCGAGGAGCTGGGAACCAGGTGGTCAAGCCTTACAAAGCATTTTTAGGAAAATAGGTATACCACATATGCCAATGCTTAATATTTATTTTAAAATTTAGAACAACTATATCGGATTCCTCGACTTTAAGAAGGAATCGGTGAAGAAGCTGGGGATGAGGGCCAACACATGCTCCTTCAACCCGGGGGTCATTATTGCGAACCTGACTGAGTGGAGGAACCAGAACATCACCCAACAGCTGGAGCACTGGATGGAGCTCAACGCTCAGTGAGTAGCCACTACGGGGGAAACATTGATGCGTTGCATCGTTCTGTTAAAGAGAAATGTAAACTTGGGACTTCCTTTATTTTTCCCCTCCACAGAGAAGATCTGTACAGTAAAACCCTTGCAGAAAGTGTCACCACTCCGCCGCTTCTTATCGTCTTTTACAAACGCCACTCCTCCATTGACCCGCTGTGGCATGTGAGACACCTCGGTGAGTTCTGGCTTATTCCTGATGGAAACTCAGAAGAACTAAGATTTTTATTTTTTTTAATATGTCGTTAAATTTCACATCTTAATAAAAATCGCTCTACTTTGTATATTATTGACCCATTACAAATACTTCTACTGCACAAGAGCAAATACTTGGAGATCCAAAGTAGCTAACAAAAAAAACCACAATAATTCAGTGAGCTGACCAGCTGTAGAATTATCCATTAATCTCTAAACTTGCATTATGTGTATCTAGAAGTTTAAACTTTACGTGCAATTTAATCAACATTGTAGGCAATATCCATTTACAGTAAAATCTTTACTACCAGTAAAGCCGTTGACTGTTTTGCAGCTAAATGAATCTCTAAAAGTCAACTTCACCAACATACACATCGTCTCGAAGCTTTGTTAAACAGCACGAGCGGTTTATTAACCATCATTTAAATCAGGGTTTTATCTTCACTCTGTATTTATTAACTCCAAGTAACGTGTAAGATGCAACAAATGATATGGCTAATGAGCATTTTGCAGAGCTGAGTTTTATTTCTTGTAATAAATAAGAATATGCCGCCATAAAACCTCCACCGAAGTAAAAGCTGTCAGTTTTTCGGTGTTGTCTAAAATTACTTGAATCCACAGCTTCTTAGCTTTGTTTGTTGTTTCTCAGGTTGTCTCTGAAGTTTGACACGTAGCTGCTAACTATTTTTTTTTTAACCATTTAATCAGTGGTGTAGTCTGTGTGATACGCGGGCAAACAGAGTATACACACTAGAAAAGCTTTGGAATTTCAGTATACCCACGTACAAGTGCCGAGTGATATGAGCCCATGTATCATTGGTAATGATACGTGGGCTTGTGTCATTAACACATTTAGAACATTTTATAGACGCATTAAGTTGGTTCAACCTATTATTTTTTTTGTATAATTAATACTTCAGTACTTTCCAAGCCTGCCAAGATAACAAATTTTGATGGGCGATTAATTGTCTCAGAAATTATTGCGATAAACTAAAATATTGTTTGAAATTTGACAATAATTAGTAATTATTGTCAAATTTAAGAAGAAATGTTGGTTTGTTTTGAGTGCATTACTTTTTTTTTGAGCATTGGATGGCAGTCTAAGACTATTTGAATCCAAGGTTGGATAGTGAGGGAGCGAGCAGCGTGTCTCTTTAAGAAAAATGGGAGGGAGGCCCCTTGACGTGACATGGGCTGTCTCTTCTTCCTTTTTTTTTGGTTCTCAAAATGGCGGACGCTCGGTGCGGTTTGAGCTCTTTAGCATAGCATTTTTCACACAAAGCATCAGTAAACAAGTTCTCAGCTTCTTTTTGCAGAGAAAAACAACGTTTTACACGAAGGCTTCAACCGTGAATTTTGGAGCTTCGACAAGACGAAGGTCTCCCCCCCCCCCCCCCGAGTTCGGCCTGTTAGCTTAGCTCGTAGCTTAAAAACGCAATTTTGGATTGTTAAAACAGATTTTAAAGAGAAAGGGAGGGATCAGTGAAGAGTACCGAAGTTGATCTTTTTGTCATCCAGTGTCTTCAGTAGAAAGAAAGAGACACGAAGAAACGATAAAGCCGATAAATGAAAATGAGGTTGATAATTTTCATTTATCATGCGATTAATTGATTTGTTTATCGCGACAGGTCTAGTACTTACTACTTAATACTTGAACATATTTTGCTTTGTTGTTTTTTTTTTAAATACAAAGCCAACTATTGTACAAAGTTTGTTCATTTAAATATAAGCATCAGAGAAATTTTGAAATGTTCAATATGCTTAAACATCAAAATAAATTGATTACATTGTACTAGCCTGTGTACTTCGGTTTCTAAGCACAGTATACCCAGTACAAAAATGTAGACTACAGCACTGCTTTTAATCTAGTGTTTGGAACTGAACCCAAGTGATGCACGTGTTGCTCACAAGTTTACTGACTTACCTTTAAATTGAACATTCTCATACTTACCGGTAAGTAAAATTTAATTAATTAGATTGTGGCCGACTGCAGTTAACTAAAATTAACCGGAGTGTTTTAAGGTAATTCGGCTGCTTTGAATAACAAAATTAACACTTTTTCAGGCACTACAGGAGCTGGAAACCGCTATTCCCCCCCGTTTGTGAAAGCTGCCAAACTCCTCCACTGGAACGGACATTACAAGCCCTGGGGGAGAGCGTCGTCTTTTTCCGACGTGTGGGACAAGTGGTTTATTCCTGACCCTACGGGGAAGTTTCATCCCACGCGAAGACATTCAGACTAAACTGTTTCAGGAACATTTGGACCAGCTCAGCCTCAGGAACTAAAAAGTCTTTGCCAGTGATTTGATCCGTCATCCTCTGGATTTGTGAAGTTTTTAAATATTTTTGGACCCTTTTTTTTTTTTAAAGCATATTTTAGTCTTGCTTTTTTTAAATTTACATTTCCAACAATTTTGACAAAACCACTGAAACATTTTCCTCATTCAGTTTTTTGCCTTAAAGTTTTTAAAATCTTGGATCATGTTCAGGGGAGTGACTAACACAGGGTGTGTGTACATTTCATCCTTGTAAAACAAATACATTTTTTAAAAAGGTCTAAGCACAAGCACCTTGACGTTCAGTCCAATTTAGAAATTGTAATTATAAACTTGTATATTAAACGTCTACACTTTTTGGTGCATCATTCCAGGCTCTGCAGCTGCTACAAAACATTTATTCCTAAATGAGCAGAAATACAAACTCCATAGTCTCTTTGGTATTTTAATCTGTATTAAAGCACCAAGAACTCAATGTAGTTCGTTAAATTGTCTTTAGAAACGTACGTTTCTGTGTAAACGGAGATGTTAATGCTGCCGGTTTATATCTGCTTCAGGTCACTTTGGTCAAAAGACTTCGTTACACTAATGTCCTTGAATTTTCAGTGATTTGCTCATTTACCTCCCCTGAAATGCTCAATTACGTTTTTACTCATTTTCATGTTGTAAATGATCATTAAACCTCTGAACTGTGGGTTTTTTTAAAGCATGCTTCTAACCAAATGTTATGTATTCAGATTGCACAAGTTTTTTTTTTTACCACTTACAGAGTTGTACTTTTTTTTTTTTGGTACAATAAATCAAATAAAAATGGTGTTTCTTTTACTTCGTTTCCTAAATGTGTCTAAAAACTGCAACTTTTCTTGTACTGTACACCAATTTCTAACATGGTTTTAACAACAAAAAACGTTTTATTTCATGTACAGGTCATTTATATACAGTACTCTGCATTTAGAGCTTCCAAATGATTTTTTTAGACAAACATCTTTTTTTAAAAAGTAGACGATGGATATTTACACAACTGTCATGAATGAACTGCCCCAGAACAGCTGTCAGAATATTGTTCAAAGTGAAGTCTGTACGAGGCGTTTCGTCCGATGGTCTTCAGGTTTACAGGGGCTTGTGAACTGAACAGGACCAGCAGACTGAAATATGTATCCTGATGGTGACTCTGCATCTTCATGTATCTAATGGCAGGTTTCCATTACACGAGAGCACGGTTCTACATCCTCAGCAGAAAGTACCCAACACCACAGGCAAGGTCAGCTGCCTGTCGCTCAATTATATTTGATGCTGCAAATACAATAAACACTGAAGCTGTGACACAAAGACTTCCAGTACAGAAGTTTAATAATCAGATTACTGACTGAGGCAGCAGTTCCCAAATGTTTCAGCTTCAACAAAACTGCAGCAAAGGCTTATGACCCCAAATACTGCCAGTCTGAGTATAAAAACTCTGCTTAATAATTTAGCATCATATACGTGTTTGCACAATAAAAAAAAAGACATTGTTTTACAAAACATCATTTTGTGTGGAAGATGCTGCTGCATAGATGATGTATGTTTCTGTATCATCCTATCAGTCTGTCTCGTTTGGGACTTCAACTGATAAAACAGCAACACAAGGTACTAATATTACGTATATTGTACTAGATGCAACTTAAAATAGGGAAAATCTTGATCCCTAACTGCTCCAATGTAATGGAAAAACACCTTTTATTTAAATTAAATGAGAGTGAAGGAAGAGCTCATTTAAAATCCGTGTTGAAGTCATAAGCATCATCTGTGGTAACTGTAGAGAGGCTGATGTCGATGGGGAAAGACTGAAATTTCACCTTGTTGGGATTTTCTGCAAAAAAAAAACAACCACATATTAAACTAATCCAGACAACTTATGCGCAAGTTATTTCTTTTCTTGTTTAAATATACCTTTATGGGATGTTTTATGGGGTTTCTTGAGTTCTACCTCACACGAGTCCTCGGTTTGTTGAGGCTGTGAGACAAAGACGTTTGTTAAAACTCCAGCTTTCTCCAAGTTACAGCGATTAAACGAAGTCAGCGGGGATCAGAGTTGGATTAGAAGTCTTCACAAACAAAATCGAGACTTGCACTTTTTGTCCTCATTTCCACAAGCACTTTTTATTTTAAGCACTTGTCCATGTGGAGTTACCTCGATGTTCTCGTTCTGCTGCACCTCGTCCTCTGTCGCAGCCGTTTCTTCAGACGCGCTCAGCAAACCTGCCGTCGGCCCTTTGGACGTGAAGTGTATGCTGCTGGCCTGGTGTGGAAATTTAAAACCTATGGAGAGAAAATGAATTTTAAAACGTGGAAGAGATCAGGAGATGCCATTAAACCGTCTATACTACGAGTGCAGGGAACGCTGCCCCCGAACAAAATGTTGATTAAAAAGGAAAATACTGTTTAAAGATGAAATTTCACCACTGGTACCTTTTAGTGTTTCCACGTTTCCTAACTTGACTTTGTTCAGATCCCAGCCTGCACGCATCTCCGTGACCACGGCGTCAGACATGTAGGGAGGGGGGCTGTAGTTGGGCGGCACCCGACAGTGGTAACTTAGTTTGGCTCTGCGAGGACCCCAAAACAAACGTTTATGAAACCACTAACAAAAGCTGAACATGTCACACAGCATTAATTGCAGTTGGTGTTTGGATCAGAGTTGGATTACAAGTCTTCAGAATCAAATCCAGATTTCCACTTGTGTCTTCATTTCCTCACCAACGCCCCCCCACTCCTGCCCGTGCGTTCACTCACCCCGTCCAATCGGAGAGAAACGTAACGGCTGCTTGCTCCGTGTTGGGAACTCCACCCTTCTGCAGGTACCCACGTTTCTTAGCGAACAGGGTCAGGAACTCCAGGGAGTTTCTGAAGTCGGGGACGTTGTACTGAAGCATGATCTGGAACAAGAAAACGACGTCACGCCAGGATCTTCATCCATGATCAGCTCCCGCCTGCTGCGTGGTGGCAGCTGCTCCTACCTGGCTCTGATCGCACTGTTTAAGCAGAGTCCTGGCAGCATCCAGCACGCTCAGGTGACCCTCCTCCACCTGCAAGCTCCTCAGAGTCAGAGAGACTTGGGGGTTGGACGACGAGGCCACCACTCCTGGGCTGTCGATCAACTTCACTTGTTTGGAGAGGTGCACTTCCTGCATAGTTCTGATGTAGAGAGAAAGAATAAAGAACATTGAAATGCACAAACTGTACTTATATAGCACCTTTCCATCAAATCAAGATACTTGCAGCGCTTTACAACACAATGCACGCCCTCACTTACCCATTCATACAGCACTCTACTAGATCTGTACTAGGCCTGTCGCAATAACCAATAAATCAATTAATCGCACGATAAATGAAAGTTATCGACCCCATTTTCATTTATCGGCTTTATCGTTTCGTGTCTCTTTTTCGACTGGAGACACTGGACGACAAAAGGCTCAACTCCGGTGCTCTTCACTGACCCCTCCCTTTCTCTTTAAAATCCATTTTAACTCCCATTTTTCTTAGAGAGTCACGCTGCTCGCTCCCTCACTATCCATCCTTCGGTTGAAACAGTCTTATACTGTCGTCTAGTGGTCAAAAAAGGTACCACACACAAAAATTAACCAACATTTCTTTTTAAATTTGACATTACTAATTATTGTCAAATTTCAAGCAATATTATCGTTTATCGCAATAATTTCTGAGACAATTAATCGCCCAGCAACATTTGTTATAATAACAGGCCTAATCTATAAAAAGACTAATCAGCGCTTTATCACATTCATACACGGATGGGACACACATTGGAGGCAATGGATGGGGGATTTCAGTCTTGCCCAGGGACACTTCGGCATGCGATTACTGGTGGAATTGAACCTCCAACTCTCCCATTGGAGGACGACTGCTCCAACCACTCATCCACAGCTGCCTCAAACAACAATATAACTTAGAAAGTTGTTTACACAAGTTTTTACTCACTTTGTGGTTCCTCTGCTAGCCCCAAGATGGCACACGAGCATTCCCTTCAAGCTGTTAATGAGGCTGCTCTTCCCAACGTTGGGGAAACCTGTGGACGATGGGGAAATACCAATTTATCCGATGTAATAAGGTTGGAAACGACAACCATTTCTAAACGCGTCACATCGTTATAAAGAAAATAAAATCCATGATTACCGACTACGCCAACTTTGAGCGCAGCTTCGTTTTGCGTCTTCGCAGCATAACTTGTCAGCAACTCTGAGAGACGAACACCCCCCAGGCTGGCTGCTCCCCTGGACTTGTCCAGGACTTCATTTGAGGGGACTATTCTTCTCTTTTTGGCTCCCTGAAGACCACAGAACAGCACAACTTAAGTCATAAAACTGTTTTTAATAACAGAACATTTCAAAAAGATGAAGCTCACACTGATTGCTGCATTTATTAGTATTTTGGTGAAATCTGTTAAATGATCCACAAACACACCCATCAGCTCTGCACATGTCAGAGAGACTTGACTGTGTGGTTTGTTAATTACTCTTGGAGGAGTAACCTGTTGGAGCAGCATGAGATCAGCTGATCAACATTCTCAGTCCTCCACATCACAACGATGGCACAAAAAAATAAAAAATGCAGATTTCTTCTTTTTATTTTGTTACAATCCCAGAGGTTTACAATGCACCTCTTACCTCCGTCTTGTCTTGGATCCGTGATGATGCTTTGAACGCCACAACTGGAAGCTCCTTTTGTAAACACTCCATCCATGTCTCCACCGTTTCTTTAGGTACCAGATCTGCAGCACAGAATACAGAAAGTCCAAAAACTCAGAAATACCCGATTACATGCGTCAAACCTAAACTATTTTTTTTCCCTCTTCTAAAATAAAAGTTTCATATTTGCAGGATTTTCTTGTCCATTTTACCAATTTTGTTTAAAACCAGAAGTAATTTCTTGTTGCCTCCCCCCAGCAGCACGGCCTCCTCTAGCTGTGGACACCGGCTTCCCAGCGGGTCTCGAGCGTCGAGGACTTCTATTACAACATCGGACGCATCGATAACCTACAAGAGATTAAAAAAAAACAATGAGTAAATCTACATTTATTCAGTATAACCCACTGACTCATGTACTTTCTTACCTTGTTTAGTTGAGCACAAAGGAACTGTTTAGAGTTTTTGTTTGGGGCCGTTGGTTTATCTCCTGTTTTATCCTGAGAAATAAAAACAGAAGCTGCCGTCACTAAAATGCAAGCAAATGTTTCAAAAGCAAAGCTGGTGCAAGCTGCAAAAAAATAAAATAAAATAATCGTTTAATTTACTGAGTTTAGCAACTCTGAGGTTTACTAACTGGCTTTATTCTGTAAGAAAAACAATGAATGAAGCATTTTGAGCTCAGTAAAGTCAGATTGTAGGAGCTACAGCTCCCAAAACAGTTCAATCTCAAATTTGACCCTTTTCTTGACAGAAAAACAAAAAGCGACAAGCTAATTTAAAAGTAGTTGTGCTTCGAGATGAAAACTCAACGTTTGTGTTCTTGCGCCTGCAATTTTTAAAATGCAGTAGTCCCTCACTACTTCGCGGTTCGTTTTTCGCAGACTCGCTCCATCGTGGTTTTCCAAAATAAGACTGGAAAGGACACAACTGGATGATTGATGCATGAAATTTTTATTTAAAATTAATCTGTTTAAATTATTTAGCACCTGCTGCACATTTGTGCAGCCCACACCTGAAGGAGAAGCTTCCTCCTGCAGCGGAGAAGTGGGCGTGGCCAAGAGTGCAGCCGGAGGCAGAGAGCTGAGATCATGACATGCTGACTATTTCTACTTCGTGATTTTTCACTTATCGCGGGGCTTCAGGGTACAGATCCCCCGCAATAAATGAGGGACTACTGTGCTCTCACTAAAATAATCTTGGCCATCTTCTGCGGTTTTCTGCACTTCAACATTAAAAAAGCATGCATGCTTCTAATATGGCTGGAGATTTTTTTTTAAACAATCAATGTTTTATTATTCCTTAATGATTGTAAAACCTGTTTTCCTATGAGATCAATCAAACATTGTGTTTTCACTGACAAGATTTACTGCAGCCGCGATTTCAAGTTAAATATTTTTGTAGAAAAGACAAATAAATAAAAATCGCCCATAATTATATAGAAGTAGACGTTTTATACTCCGGTAGAGTCGTTACAACCATACTGGTGATGTCTGCAGTCATTTTGGTAAAACTAATCAAACGTCATCTACAAAGCACCTTTCACACAGCCGTGTGCAACACAAAGTGCTTTACACCAGACAAAACGTAAAAGACACAAGACGACGACGTAAACAAATTCATTTAAAATGGCACTACCGGTAATTTGTAAAAGGAATAAGCAATAAATTACTGAAAACCATCAACCTCGTTTCTGATCCATTAGGCTACGATCACACGTCAGATTTTTTCTTTCTTTTTTTGTGTAGTCGTTTACATTATCAATGAAATGCGAACCGTTGACTGAGGCGACTCATATGCACAGAAGAAAACGTGATGTCGTAAGTACATATGGATGCTCCACATTAACATGTGCGAGTCTGAAGTTTTTCTACTATCAGAACCGATTAAATAATTTCCTGCATGATTGCGTGGTCCAATGTTTGTATTAAATCTTGCTTTCTGACAGCTCCTCCAGTACAGCGTTGCAGTTTTTGGATTGGGGCGACATACTGAAGGTAAAAACAAACTCGAGTAACGATCCCATCACGTTAATATCAATACGGTCCGACACCAACATCAGTATCACATGTTGCTGTAGATTCTCAGTCGTCCAGGACAAGGAAATTAAAAGAAGACGAAGAAACTGGACTTTTGTTCTGTAGTTGAAGACCTGCAATGTCTGAGATTTAAACGGCACAAGGTTGGCATCAATATTAATACTTGGATTGACCCGTTTACCCCTCCCTCCCTCACTGACGTAAAAGTCTGACAAAATAAGACCTGATCGTTCAGACTGCAGTCGCTTTGAAAAACATTGGAAAAGGATCAGATTAAGTACGACTTAGGAAAAAGACCTGGGTCAGCTTTGAGGGGAAATAAATAAATGTCACTTTCAGACCGCGATGAAAATAAATCTGATACGGGTTGAATAAGGGCAAAACATAAAATGAATAAATACATAAATCAGATTTGAACCACGTTTGATATGAACGTAACCTTAGCTGTGGTTGTGTCAGAGGATCTCGGCGACGCTCAGCGTTAGTGATGGTAATGAAGATTTGTAGCCAGTGTTGCTCTTTACAGATCGTTTCTGAGAACTTGTCACGACCAGCTGCACACAAAAATATTTTGTCTGGCTCCGATACGTCTTGTTTTTACTCAAATTTATCTCAAGCACATTTTCATGCTTGGAAGAAATTACATTTAGAAGCTGTTAAGACTTATGAATCCCTAATCAGGATGACCATTGTGAAAAAATATCACTGCAATGACACTTGATTGTTGATGTGTGCTGCTGATCCATACTGCTGATCTCATGCTGCTGATTTATTTCATGCTGCTGTGTTCACTCGTACTCGTCTGCTCACACAGACTCATGTTCGTGCTGCTGTTCTTCGGCACTATAAAGTATTTAGCATATTCTTAGTTCATACTTTAGATCTTATTACCGTTTTACAATTTATACGTTTGCTGGATGTAACTGGGACCCTGTGCACACGATGTCATTCGCATCACATGTGGTACATGTGATGCGAATGACAAAGAAACCTTGACGTTTGTGAGTGAGCTGAAGTGAAGACGTTACAAGACGTTAGTAGAAATAGAGAAACCTCAAAGTTATGAAACTAGGGGCGCACCGATTGCAGTTTTCTGGCCGATAGATCACTAAAAAGTCCGACCTGCCAATTCCGATTTTGTTTTATAAGCAACACTGTCAGGTGTTATAAGATCACAATGAACGAACCTTCGATTTTCCATCTTATTTTCCTGAAAAACACCCTTGAACAATATCCTAGAAACAATACAAACTTTTAGATAATTGTTGTTAAAGCTACCAATAAATCGGTAAAATCGGCTTCTCAAGTATCGGCCGATCTCCCAAAAACAAGTAAATCAGGGCTGATAATTGGTGCGCCCCTATTTGAAAGAGAAACCAGGCGAACTTGCGTTTTAAACTGGGGTTTGAGATTTTTTCTTAAACCTTCCAAAACTGTAACAGCTGGTGTAGATTTAGAGTAACAGAGATTGAATAGACTCCCTTCACCGTTGTGACCAATTCAGAAATTACACCACGGTGAACAAAAGGCATCCAAGTCTCGGCTTTGATCCTAATGACTCTTCAGTGGAGGGGGGTGAGTTTAATCTGTATCTGAATTTAGCTGCACATCGAAGCATCTCATGCAACCTAAAGCTGCATGAAATCTTTTTCTACACGTATTAAGTAACAGCAAACGCCGGTACTTGTGTACTGCAGGTAAAGCATCGACTGTGATAATTATATTACTAAACCAAACTTAAATATACCTTTGTTAAGGAGCTGGTGACTCAAGCAGTAAAAATGTTTAAATCTTTTTCAAATGCTCCATTTCCTTGGATCTCCAAAATAATCATGAGTGTTTGCAAAACTTTGCATTGTCTTTACAAATCTGTGCAGTTTGCTAAAAAGTACAGCTGATAAAAGAAAGAGCACGGTAATTTTAAAACTAGAAACAATTACCGTCCATAAAATTTCAGCTGGTATAAAAAAAAAAAAGACTGAAGAGTTGATGTTTTTTACCTTTCGGGTCTTCTTGGCTTTAGGTTCTGTCTCTTTAGTTGCAGCCTCCTTCTCTTGTTTCCTCTTCTGGGCTCGTTCCTCCTTTTTGGCTTGTCGTTTTCTCTCATTTTCTTCTTCAAGCTAAGAAATGCAAAATTAATAATAACAATAAAAACACATCTGTGAAGTGCCAGTGTCCACATCAGGCCTGACAACTCTCAACACCGCCCTCCAAAGCCAGGGTGCAGCAGGTGTTGGTATGAAACGCACCTGTAGCCTCCTTTGCTCGGCCTCTCTGAGGACCTCCTCCTTAAAAGGAGCACTGTTGGGCACTCCCGGGTCCTTCTTCACTCGTTTCTGAACTCCTTTCTTCTTAGCTTCTTTCTTTAGCTTTTTGTTATGCTCCCGGACCTATTCAGATTAAATAAGACTATGAGTAACCATCTTCTCTTATACTAGTATTTCAAAAAAAAAAAAGTATGTCCACAGATTTATGCACAAAAATAGGAAAAATTAAAGAAAAGCCACTTGCCTTCTTCTGTATTTTGTACCGTTTGGCACAGGAGACCCGCTTGCTGGCTTTCTTTAACTCTGAAGAAGACACGTTCGGTTAACTGAAGGTTAGCTAGGGGAGAAGCTCGTGACGTTAGCAAGCTTCTGCTCGCTACGCCACCGTTCAAAAGACCTGCATATTATTATAAAAGCTAAAAAAAAAGAACTCATAATTTTATTTATTTATACAACACTTACTTGGTCGTCTCATCGTACAGCCTAGAACACGCCAATGTGGCTGAAATGCTACCGCACGTGGAGAATGGTACAAGTTTCCGTTTCCGTCAGGAAGTTGCGTTCGGGTTGCCAGAAAGGAAATGACGAAATATTTAATCTTTAGCTATAAAGTTCTCGAGAACTCATTTACCGGTTCAAGAGAAACCTGTTTTGAACAAACACAGATGAGGCACCGACAGCAGCAGACAATCATAAAAACACATATAAAATGAAAAGTGAATGGAAGAAAATTTCATTCAACCTTTATTTAGACAGGTAAATCCCATTGAGCCTCGAGGACTCATTTACAAGAGACCTGATTTCAGCAAAGAATGATGACAACAGCGACAACAACAACAGTTATAAAAAGGCATACAGATTTTTTATTTTTATTTTTTACAAATAAGATGGCAATCATCATATCATAAAATTATACTATCAAAAAAAACGATTCCGAATGTCTGGCAACACGGCGCCACCTTCTTCTTCTTGAGTTGTCTTGTTTTTCTTCTTCGTTTTTCTTGGTGCATTACCGCCATAAATTGGTATGGTGTTTGACCAAAAACACCACAACATGCTAATCTTCACAGTATTCACCTTCACCTTCCCTACATTAATAATCCTGGTGGCACGGTGGCGCAGTTAGTTGTGCTGCTGCCTCTCAGCAAGAAGGTCATCAGTTCAAATCCCAGCCTTTCTGGGTGAAGTTTGCATGATCTTTCCATGCATGTGTGGGTTTTCTCCTGGTACTGCTTCCTCCCACAGACCAAAAACACGCACGTTAGGCTGATTGGTAACTAAATTGTCCTTAGGTGAGAGTGTGAATGGTTGTCTCAGTGTCCCTGTGATGGACTGGAGACCTGTCCAGGGTGTACCAAGGTGATGCTCATCATTTTCAGTTTTGCGAGTGCTTCGGTGATCTGAGGAGGCCTGTAGAGATGGAGTTTTTGTCATTGCCCTCAGCATTGCAGTCTGATCAGACTCTGATCTGGGGTGAATTTCCTGGGATGTCCTCTTGGGAAGATTGCCGCTGTTTGTAATATTTTTCTCTTGTGAACAATCTTTCATACTCTAGAATGGTGGACTCCAAATTGTTTGGAAATAACCTTTAACCCTTCGTGGACTGATGGACAGTAACTTCTGTTAGCTCAATGTTGACTTTTCTCCTTGGCATTGTGCTAACACACAACTGAATGCTACAGAGCCACAAAACTTGTAACGTTTAACGGAATACCCAGAGAATATGGACTGAAGAGATTTTGAGACCAAGTAAAAGTTTAACAGTGTTTATTTACAAGTGATAATATCAGCAACGTGCACGGGGAGGGACTGGAACCCCGAGGAGCAAGGAGAAGGTTTAACATGGACAACTTGAAGAATGGTGAATAATAATGCTTTTCTTTCATACACAAGGTTTTGTGGTTTAGGAGCACGTGATCCAATGGTTCCAGGGAGCAAAAGCAAAAGGAAGACGTCCGAGGACAGTTCCAGGTGGAGGTAGGCAGGTGGATGGAAGGCAAGGAGACAGATAAGGAAGTCACAATGGAGCTTGAGGTCACACAGTGGGAATCCAGGAACAGGAAGGCAGCAGAAGCAAATGCTGAAAACACAAAGGAGCACACGTTTATCTTTCATCAGGTAATAACGCAACTACCGTTAGGCATGTAACACGCCAGCGGCAACTGGAGGTCCTCTGCAGCCTTTTGTACTCCTGCAGCTCATCAAGGAGATGGTCCACAGACACAGGTGTGGCTTGTTGGTGCCATCTTGAGACTGCAGGAAGCTGGATAGAGCTGAACTCCCACAAAACTCCTGTTATTATAGTTAATTCACTGATGGTGACCAGTTAATTCAGTGCATTTGATCAGCAGCTACTGTCTCTCTAAATCCTTTGAAAACAACAAGGGTGATCTTTGTTTTTCACACAACCTTTTCATTTTGGCATTGATTTTGTATAATAAAGAGACACATGATGGGATCTGTTGCATGTTTTTGGACACTTGAAGACTTTTAGAACCTGGTAAAAACGTTTTTATCATGTTTCAATATGTAACACTTTACACGTGAAAGAGGATGTGCTTTATTTTTACCATTTATGTGCTTAAATGTGAGCTATAAACATGTTGTAGAGTTACTGTATTTCAGAACAACACAGTTTGATGGAACAAAATCTACCAGTGCATAACAATTTCATAAAACAGTGACCTAAGTGTGCAGCACATGTATAAAGATTTCTTTCCTCCAAACAAAGACCCTGCTGTCATCCACCACAGTTATCAGCTGTGCATATTCTTATTTTAATGCTTCCAACCTCATGAGGTAATTCATAATATTTCTGAGAGAGCACCTGATTATTTTTCTTTAAAAAGTTTTACAGTTCGTTTGATGGACCTGTTTTGTTTCTGCTTGTTTTATTCGTCTCCGTTGAGAATGGCTTTAAAATGCAACACTTGAAATTCTCTCCATACCTTTCACCTGCTTCAATAAAAAAACACATGGAGGGACTGGCACGCACCTGTTCATAAACAGTTTTTGAGTCATCATTTGTCTAATTATATTTGTGCTTAGGAAGAAGAAAGCTTTACACATAAATACACACTTTGTTTGTCAAATTCAAAACTAACTGAGTTGTTGAAAGAGTTTTTGTACTTACAAATTCATCATTATTTCTTTAAAACACAAGACGGAAACAAAAAAAATTGAACCTGTTATCTTTAATTTCAAACCTTATTTGGTCTCGTCTGAAACTGATGTTAAACGTTGAGGTTGCTTAACGTTTCTGATCAGTGGGTGTTCGCATGACAAGAATGACAACCAGCTCAACAAGTTTATCTCCCTGTTATTAAATCATCAGAGATGGATGACATGGTGCAGTTTTACTGTTAGCCTAATATATCAGACTACATCAACCTTTTTTAATTTAACATGTCACAGTCACAGTGCGTGTCAAACATGGGCCGTCATGTTTGACACACTATTCTATTCAATTGAATTCAGTTTATTTATATAACACCAAATCACACCAGAAGTCATCTCAGGACACTGAAACATTCTCATACATTAAAAAAAATCAGTTGGTAAAAGTTATGTATCTAAGGAAGCCAACAGATTGTGTTGAATCTACACTTTGTCGGTCTCCCATCCTGAGCAAGCACAAAGGCGACAGTGGAAAGGAAAAACTCCCTTTTAACAGGAAGAAACCTCCAGTAAAACCAGGCTCAGGATGAGCAGCTGGCGTTTGAGAGGACAGGAAGGAGGAACAGAAAAACACAAAATGGCAGGACCAGGTGAATAAATACAAACAGGTAGAGGAGAGCAAGCAAAGACAACAGCAGGGTGAAGAAATGTGGACAATTTGTCCTCCAGCAGTCTAAGCCTATAGCAGCATATAGGGATATCTCAGGAAACGTTAACTATAGGATTTTAAATTCACACTAACCTCTAACACAGAGGGGCTACAAATGGATCAGAAACAGAATCACTGCAAATGAATGCTGGCAACAACAAAGAGATGCAAAACAGCCACAAAGAGATGCAGAATAACTACAAAGAGATGCAAAACACCCAAGAAAAGACCCAAACCCACAAGCAGATGACAAGTAATTGTGACAAATTGTGTATTGTGCAGTGCAAAACATTAGAAGAACCGTGCATTAGCAACAAGATAACTTAGCTTATCTTTAAAAGTGAAGAGTCTCGCTTCAGATGGGGATTCTTTACATATCCACACACCTGGGGATCAATTATTTCAGATTCTGCACATGCAGCCAGGACTAATTTCTGCCAGCACCGTCACATTAAGCTGCAGGAGCAGTGTAGCTGTCAGCCAGGACTATATGGACTCTAATGGTCATTTGACAAAAATACTGTCAAGGCAACGGCTCATCTCTGTGTCTGGGGGCACCTCACTGGTGGAGGAGGCTGATTTATATTCTGAGATGGTTTATCATAGTTACACAGGCACTTCAAAGCAGATAATCATATTGAAATTATTAACTGAAAATCAACATTTCAGGCTGCGCAAGCGACATTTTTCTTTGGACAAATCCCTCTTCAGTTCATGTGCACTGGACTTTTAGCTTCAGATAAATATGAATATGTTCTTAAATTAACTTTGTGGCTATCTGAATTAGAAATCCCACAGAAAGAATCAAGGTTTAAAACATTTAGAGTGTTATCAACACTTGTCGTGCTTCATTTTAGATGTTTAAAGAACAAAAATGTTTTCTACTAATACCTTTCAACTTTAATTTTAAATATAAAAATATTATCTAAGAAATCCTGTATTTATTTCAGACTTCAGTAATCGGAAAGATGACTAGAAACATTACAAATATTTCAAAATGTATATTTTATTAATATAATAAATACTAGGCTAACTCCTCATATCAGTACAAGCTAATGCATTTGTCAGCATTTAGACACTATAGTAACGCGTTTTCTAATAAAAATCATAAAGTACTATTTTTCTGACCAATTTAATGAGCTAGAAACAGACAGAAGTAAAAATTAAAAGTTTTTTGCCTTTTTATGTGCAGGCAGCAGTACATATTGGATTTTGAGGTTGATGCTAATCAGGAACTTGAAGCTTTCTAAGTTGAATTTCGTACTTGGAGAGATGATCCAGTTGCTTTTCTCCTGTCTTGGACATTAGGAACTCCAACTTCTGTGTACAAATACAACACTCTATTAAAGCAAAATGGGAAAAGTGACATAATTTGGAAGAAAGTCCTTCTGGATATCTGAAATATGTTTTTTTCTGACAAAGAACTGAATTAAAGATATCTGAAATACATACACCCTCCTTCACTCTCAGAGTTTTACTTGAAAGGATATTATCAAAAAGGTCTGATCTATACCTGGTTCTAAATTTATTAAAATTTAACCTCATTTGTAGATAAAAAAAAACAACAAAAAAAACAACAGCACCATGACATCTATAAGAAAGCACCGTAGTTTAGGGAGGACAGCACCAGCCAGGTGCTGCTGATCAAATGCACTGAATCATGTGACGATCATCTTGTGATTACTTCTAAAAGCAGGGGTTTGGGAAGTGTACTATTCTGGAGCACACAGGTGTGTGTGTGGTGACACAACGTCAAAATGGAAAGACATCAGCAATGGTCTTACAGAAGCAACTGTTGCAGCCTATCATTCTGGAAAAGATTATAAGGTCATTTACATCATTTTACAGAAATAAATGATATTTTCAAGTGGAAAACATGGCAGAAATACACAAGAGCACCATCTCAGAGCCTACAGGCTTCACTTAGCAGGTTGAAGGGTTGTGTTGGTCAAATTAGAGCAATACTCAAAGTAAGCCTTGTTGAGTTATTTAGTTACAGAGTCAACCATTTATTCCTCTGCAAAGTATTCTAAAAAGAAACGTGAGGCTAACTGTCAAACAGCTAAAGCTTGATCAAAAAATGGTCACGCAACAGGAAAATGACCCAAAACATAGCAGCAAATCTACAAGGGCATGTTTGAAAAATAAACTTTCAGCTACCCTTTAAGTTATTACCCTATTTTTCAGACTATAAGGTGCACCAGATTATAAGGCGAAATATTAATGAACAGGTCTGTTTTCATGCATAAGGCGTACCAGATTATAAGGCACAATAAGCGAAATAAAACAGTCAGATAAGTAAAACTTTATTCAACTCATTCACAATAGCTCTCAACATTGTTCAGTTGTGCCACATAAAATCGGTCAGTAAGCACAACCAGAATTAACACATAAGGTGCACCAGATTATAAGGCTCACTGTCGATTTTTGAGAAAATTAAAGGATTTTAAGTGCCTTATAGTCTGAAATATACAGTATTTTTTTCGTTTCGGCTTCTCCCTTCCTCAGGGGTCGCCAAAGTGAATAACTTACTCGCCGGATGCTCTTCCTGATGTAACCACCGAGCTACCACAGCCCTCTGTGTGGAGCAGGGAGCTGCCAGCTAGGGCACCTGGGGGAGCAGATGGTGGAGGTTAAGCATAGTTGAGTGCCTTGCTCAAGGGCCCAGAGTGGGACAAACGACGGTGGAGGTAGGCGTGAGTGCTTCACCTTTCCACCCACATTTTGATATTGTTGGTTCCGTTGCTGAACCGACAGCCTTCCGATCACAGGCTCGCCTTCTCTAATCTCTGTGGCACCACTCCCCCATTAAAGTACATTAAAAAAAGATCTGAAGCTCTCGACCTTGACCTCTCTAAGTGGTTTTAAACATCGGTTAAGTTCCTGGCGAAAACCAATGCAGGCATGTTCCTGTTTTTAGTTTTCTACATCGCCTCGTAATCTAGCTGGTTTTTTTTTTCACTACTTTTTTCTTTTGACTGTCTTTTTGGTTGCCATTTTATTTTAATTTGTAAAAATAAAAATAATAATAAATAAATTTGTATGCCTCTTTTATGATTGTCTATTGCTGTCGTCGTTATCCACTGTTGTCATCACTCTTTGTTAAAATCAGGTCTCTCTTGTAAATGAGCTCCCGAGGCTCAATGGGGTTAACCTGTATAAATAAAGGTTGAATGAATTTTAGTATTTAAGCTACTATTAAGCCATTTAGGTTTTTTTTTGTTGTTGCTATTTTTGTATTTCAGCCATTGTTTTGCTTTTTCACATTCATGTCTTGCTTTCCTTTTTGCTTTGACAACTCAATTTCAGCTTCTTCAGAAAAGTTCAGCAGTCAATTTTCTCTTGTTACAGCTGTTCGCTCTGGTTATATGCTCCAACGGCCTGCCATACTCAAAGTGTGTGCGGCTTTACCTGGACCCCACAGCTCGGCCGCTGATTGGTCCGCTTGGCGCTCTGCCCTGAGGTGACGTCATTAGGATCGGCTGCTGGTGATCCTGGCTCGGAGTTCAGCCTCATTGAGAGCGCTCTGAGCTGCGGGGACGGACGGACGTGGAACCCCAACGGACTGAACGTTTTCAGGTAGGGAGGACCTTGTTGTTCTGTCTTCTCACCAACTTTAACTGACACTCCGAGATGAAAACCACCAGAGGGCGTGGCCTGCTCACCGGGCTTTTAACAGCTTTCTGTCTCCACCACCCCGCGACATTTATCAGTTCGTCAACAAACCATTATTCTGCTCGTACTTAAGAGGAACCCGTTTTAACGAACTGGTTGAAGATCGGGTGAGCTTCAGGGTGCTACCGGCAGCAGTGAGCCGGCTCGTGCTGGGCTCTCATTCAGGGAGGACCTCAGTACTTTCGAGGAGCAGATGGAATGTGCTCCTCACTGAGGTGATGGCTTCTCCTTCCACTGAAGCCACAAGAGGGCTGTGGTGTGGCTCAGCCAACCATCTATAAATAACTGAAGCTTTGAACAGCCCTGAAGATGTTATCAATCTTTAAAACATCGCGTTAATGAGGTGTTTCAAGCACATCCAGCTGTTTCATCACCTCTGTTTTAGTTCCCCTTCAGGATTTTTCCCTCTCAAACTCACCTCTGTTGATTATTGGAAGTTTATTGATCAGGTAGAGAGTGCACATTTCCTGAAAGGTTTATTGTGCATCAATAACAAGAAAACCAATCAGTGTGCCTGTGGGGGCACAAGACTCCATTGATTTACAGTTGTGATGAGACACCAAGCCCTTAAAATCTTTGTTTCTGAATCAAGTGAGAAGTGATTGGAGTCAACGAGTGATGAATCACTAACTGTTTATTCTCTGTGTTTGTGCACTTGGCACAGCAGGGAACGCTTTCGCCCACTACAGCGCTGGCCTCGACGTTTTTGAGTTCAGCTGTTGGACCTGATGAATCATTCTTATTGTTGTTGTTAGATGAAAAATGTGAATGGAGTTCTGTCTTGTCAGCTTCAACTTTATCAAGATTTTTTTTTTTTTTTTTTTGGTGTGTTTTTTTCCCCCATCCTGTGCATATCTGTGTCTGTCTTTAGACTTCTGAGGCACAAAAGATTACCGCAGTGATAATGTCTGAAATATGACTCCAAAAAGCAGAAAGCTGGCTGTGAAACAGACAAACCAGGATACTGTTTAGACCAGATCTTAAACTGATTATCTTGGTCCTCCCAGGTCCTGCCCATTAAACCATTTCCTTCAGTTTGTTTTGCAGTGAGGCTTATTTTTGTGTGCAAATAAGAAGCCTAACGAATGAAACAAAATGTCTATTAATGGTTATAAATAATATATTTTTGAAATGGGGTTCTGTAGAGAGGTTATGAACATTTAATATCTTACCTGTCATAGATAGTGCGTTGAAAAGCCTCAGTTTGGAGAAATAGTTTAACTTTGACCAGATTGACAAGCTACTGGTGGCAAGTGGATTGGTGCTTTAGGACCTTATGCATCCAGTTATTAAATAGATTTGACTATTTTTTTATGTTCACCCCTCCATGTTTTACGGTTTCACACTTTTCCTAAATCTATTTTATGGCTGAACCATAGTTTTCCTCACCTAACAGTGTTTTAATATGCAAAGTATGTTTATATTTTAATATGTCTGGATTCATGAAATTCAACAATTAAATAAGAAAAATATTCAACATTTTATGCAATTTGACAAAACTGAGAAAAAAATGCAGCAATCAAGTATCTTAGATGAACAAAACATTTAGTCATTCGATAAAGCATTTTAAAAACTGCATGCAATAACAATACAAACATTTCCTTACAGTCATTTACATAAATGATCTGAAAAGTTGAAAAGCAAAGATGTCCACGAAAGAGACACCACTCCTAAACTGCCTGAAACCTATTTGTTCAACGTTTGTACATCGCCTGATGATAAATTACCAATATTTCAGTCGAGGAGCTCCTTTTGCATGCTTCAAACAATAAATTACTAAATCATCGATTTCTGACCTCGCCTGTTATCAATCAATCATCTAGAGTTGAGATTCTGTCATACAGGGGTTTTAGCAATAAACTATTTTCTATACATTTAAATGTTGAAAACATTTCTACTAACTGCCCTCCCCACCTCAAATATGATTATGAACATCTTACTGAGCATAATTCATGTTCTTTAAACTGTTAGAGATAGAGTGATGATAAAAACAAGCAAAGGTAAACCTGTCTCCACAAGGATGCACTCTTTGACACGGCTGATTATCTGAGAAATGATTTAAAAGGCACTGTAGTTGTGCCAAAACCAAAACTTGCCAGAAGGACAAAAGATAAACAATTATTAAATATGTTCGTTTGTTTTCGGCTCTTTGTTGAGACGAGCAAATTTGTTCAATCAAGAGAAGTGGATCCGTTCAGACCTGCATGGTTTTTGTTTTAAGTAAAATTTTAGATGTATGGTTCCGACAAAAGATGATTTGGGCTACGGTGCAATAATTTATTATTTTTTGCTTAATTCAAGAAAAAAGTCAGAATTTTGAGAAAAATATCAGTACTCTGAGATTAAAGTCAGAATTTTGAGATTAAAAATCAAAATTCTGAGGTTAAAGTCAGAATTATTTTGCTAGTAACTAAACAGAATTTAGACTAACAGAATTTTCTTTTGGCATTCTGACTTTTTTTCTCATAATTCTGACTTTAATCTCAGAATTCTGACTTTTTTTCCCTCAGAAAAAAAAAATAAATAAAAATTGCAGCGTGGCCCTAATCCTCTTCCGTAGTTTTCTCAGTTGCATTAATTTGTCAGTTTGTAAATGTATGTTTATGTGTGCCGATTTGTATGAAAGTCTTGCTGAATATTAAAACCTGCATTAACTTTTACACTGAAACTTGTAACTTTCTGTCAGTTTGTCTCGTTTAATTGTCGTCACGTGTACGTGTGTGTTTCTTCTGTCCGCTGCTCATCACAGGAATGGGAAACCAGTGAGTACAGTGACTCTTACTCTGTGTGAAACTTTTCAAACCAAAGGGGGGATGCTGCATGTCACCTTCTATTCAGGGAAATGTGGTTATGATGTTGTGCTTCCCCCTAGTCTCAGACTTCTTCAGTCCTGTTGCTAAATGGGGTTTGAGCAGCCTGTCTTCACCACCGGGTCAAAAATAATGCCATCAGTTGACACAGAGAGACCTCTTTGACCCTCTACATGCTCATATGCTGTCTGCATGTGTCTTTTTCCTTTACAAACACACATGTTTAAAGCTTTTCCCCTTTTCTGCCCTTGCCTATGAGAAACATGACCCTCAATCTGCTGTTTATAGCATTTGTCTGTTTGAAAAATACAAAACGGACCCCTTGCTCATCTTTGACTATGTCAATGGAAGTAGCTTGAAATGTGTTTAAACATGACATAAGTTGCCCATGGAGACCATAACTTTCTGTCATTCAAAGATATAAATGTGAAGACGGAGTTTTATTAGGTGCATGCTGATGTTTGCTGAGCTGCCTGTTGAAAACAGAATGCAACCAGTGATCAGCAAATTTAATGCATTCAAATCTCCAACTTCAGTGTTTCAACGTCACACTCGTTCTCGGTGCATGAGTCGTCACGAACCTTCATCTCCATGTGAGCAAGGTGAGATGCATCAAACAGGCAGCGTGTAAGAGGTGCTTTCACTGTTTCTCTGCCTTTGTGTTGTGCAGTTATTTTTAACAAATGACTGCTTCATTAATTGAGCACGGAATTTACGGAAGCGCATTGCTGTCAAGATTTTTTCGTTTTGAACACTATCGCGTTTTAACGTGATAATTATACAGTAGTCTCTCACTACTTCACGGTTCCTTTTTTGCGGACTCGCTCTAGTGCGGTTTTTCAAAATAAGATAGGACACGATGCACAATAGGCTGATTGATGGATGAGCCGCACGATCGGCATGGAATTTAAATTTAAAATGAATTATTTTAAATTACTTGGCACCTGCGGCACATTTGTGCAGCCCACAGCTGCAGAAAAAAGCTTCCTCCTGCACCTCTGTGCAGCATGCACTGCGGGATAAGCTTCCTGCTGCAGCTGATCAGCTGTTCTCCGTGCAGAACAGAGAAGTGGGCGTGGCCAAGAACGCTTGCAGGTGGCAAAGAGCAGCGGAGGCAGAGAGGGAAACTGTGACATTCTGTGCTCTTTTAGAACGTTTAGAGTTTAGAAACATTGATATATATATATATATATATATATATATATTCACATACATAAACTACTACTTACTACTTGTACTACTATTCCTACTTGGTGGTTTTTCACTTATCGCGGGGCTTCAGGGTACAGATCCCCACGCGATAAACAAGAGACTACTGTGTATTGTACAAATGTGATAATATACTATACCATATAATAAATGTACCACTAGACTTTTACCACAATGCATTGTCCTCAAACTTGGTGAGAAACATCCTTTAGATGTGTAGTGTTGAACACAAGTAAAAAAGTCTAGTGTTAGTGGTTTTTTATTTTATTTTATTTCTCTATAAACACAAGTAGTGCAGACCTGACGCTGTGTGTTAAAGTGCATTAAAGTTGAAATGTCTTTGAAACCCCACAGCTGGATCTCCACAAACTTGGTGAGAAACTTGCTTTAAATGTATGGAATCAAAATAAGACAATCTGAAAGTTTGTTTTATTATATGTTATTCACCTTTAAACAGGGGTCATAGATAACGGCGCAAATACAGGCCAGCTGTAAAGGTTTTGTAATCGATTACTCTGGATTTGAGCGAGATTAAGGTTCCCAAATCTGGGGAAGGCTTTACCACAGTGATTCTGCTCAGAGTGCTTATACTGATAATGATTTCATCCACAATGCGCAGCAGCATCAGAATCTCTCCATGTCTTAGATCAAGCGTGCAGTAAATCTTGATCAGCATCTGTAAATTAACCATCATGCTCTCTTCATGAGGATACTAGCATGCAGGCTAAAAGCATAGCCTACTACCGCCATCTGGATGAAATGATCACATTTGCACAATATAATCACGTTTGTACAAAATATGATGATCACATTTGTACAACAATAATTATCACGTTATAACGTGAAAGTGTTCAAATTTTTATTTTTTCCTTGACAGCAATACGC